ATCAAGATTTTTCCACACAGAGTAAATAAAATATGATGATTTGTTATAAATAAAACCAGTTTATACCAGTTCAGCTGAAACAATTAGTCCATTAAACAATCAGTCCATTAATCAATCAGTCCTTTGAGAGAAAATCATTCAGGTCATTTTCGGCTCCACAAACGTGAAGTTTTGCTGTTTCTCCTTTAATTGATTGGAATAATTTGAATTTATTAATAATAATCACTTTGGGCTCTGGGTAAATGTTACAAAGCAATCAATCAATTGATTAATGGATCAATAATCAGCAGTGAAAATAGTCATTAGTTAAAAATTGAGCTCCTACATAAATATCAGAATAATCTGATAAATAACAGCATCAGTATTGTCTGACCCTGCAGTATTCTGCTCTGTCATTGGCTGCTGCCTTCCACATCACTCTGCTCTCTGCTGCCTCCCAGTGGAGGAGAGGAGAACTGCAGCATCAGCACATTACACAACCAAACACATTGACACACAATCAGTGTTACACAGTTACACATTAAAGTACTTTTACTGGTCTGTAGTTTGTTTGAATGACATTAATCACAGGATGTGCAAACACTGGCACATTTACACTGAAGTGTAAACTGTAATGTTGATTAAAGCACATTGTCCCTGGTAAATAAATAAATAAATAAATAAACATGTTACACACACATATATATGTGCACAATCTGGGGACATCACATACACTTACATTCATTTCCTACAGACTAACAGGGACACATCTTTCGTCCCTACTTTGTCATGCCGTCCCCATTTAACTGCTGAAACGTGTCCCCAAAGTCAAACCAACCCACACACACACACACACACACACACACACACACACACACACACACACACAGAGCCAATAAATCAGATTTTTGTTACCGTCCATAATTACATTACATTGCATTTTTCTCTTCAGTGATGATTGATTACACATTATTGATGACGTCATAATAAGACGTTCCTTTATTCAATAGTGGTTTTCATTCACTGTATATCAGAGATGGTGAATCGCGATACTCTTTTTGATCAGCAGAGGGCGCTCTCTGTCGTCACTGCGTCAGTCGCTGTATCAAAGAAAAGGAAATAATACAAAGTTTAACACAGTTTAAACCTCAGAAATAATAAAGGCTTTTCTGAATACTCAAAGACACTTTACATAAAACATTAAAGCAGCGAAAACAGCATCAAATAGTAAAAACACTGAAAACATACGTTGTTATAGTTATAATTAAATATCTGAACCTGTAAAGTGACCTCTTTTCCTCTCTCTCTGTTCCCTGTCTATCTCTCTCTGCTTCCTGTCTGTCTCTCATTGTCCTGCAGCACTCGACGCTGTCACGTAAGTTTGTGGAGGTGATGACTGAGTACAACACCACGCAGTCCAAGTACCGTGACCGCTGCAAGGACCGCATCCAGAGACAGCTGGAGATCAGTGAGTACTGCCTCATACTGCCTCATACTATAATTGTCTGGCTGAATACTGCATTCTGATTGGCTGCTGGGTGGCCATTAATTCCTGATGGAGGACACATACTAAGAAGTTCCAGTAAAACCGCAATTAATGAGCTGAAATTAATTGAAATCTGAATATGTGATATCTGTGGTCGTTGGCACAATTCAGTTCAATTCAATTTTATTTGTATAGCGCCAAGTCATAACAGAAGTTATCTGAGGACACTTTTCAAATAGAGCAGGTCTAGACCGAACTCTTTAAAACATTAATTACAGAGACCCAACAGTACCACCATGAGCAAGACCTTGGAGACAAGGGCAAGGAAAAACTGCCTGTTAAAAGGCAGAAACCTAGGACAGATCCTTCGGCTCTAGGTGGGTGGTCGTCTGCCTTGACCAGTTGGGGTGAGAGAGAGAGAGAGAGAGAGAGAGAGAGAGAGAGAGAGAGAGAGAGAGACAGACAGACAGACAGACAGACAGACAGACAGGTGCACAGGAACAACAGTAGCAACAACTACACTAATAGTAGTGACTGATAATGATGAACATGACAACAGCAACGATGGGGGACAATGAGCAGTGACAACAGCAACAATAGTAACCGTAGCTGTAATAATACTTATAATAATAATAACAACACTAATATCAGTGATATACACATGAGCTATTGTTGAAAATCTCGATATTGATTTGTTTAAGACCTGACCGACAGCTGCTGGTTCGGAGAGTTCGGTCTAGACCTGCTCTATTTGAAAAGTGTCCTGAGATAACTTCTGTTATGAATTGGCGCTATACAAATAAAATTGAATTGAATTGAATTGAATTGGTCTTGTTGTTAAACTGTCAGATTATATTTACAATTTGTCGACCGTACGCAGTGTTATTGACTTAACGTAACGATAGTTCTCTGACTGCTAGTGTAATGTGAGCTCTCTGTTTCTGTGTACTCTCTGAGCCAATATCATCCAACTGCAGCCACAAATGGGCGTTCCCGTGCTGGTGGGGGTTCCCGTTTTCGCTGACTGGAACGCCCCCTTCTTCTTCGCCTTTCTTGCTGAACTGTAACTGTCAACATCCGGTTTAATATAACATTCGCTAGTTAGTGTTTCTCAACAGAAGTTTCAAAATAAGATCTAGTAGTCCGTAAATGTATTATAGAACTAACGTTAGCAAGCTAAGCCATCTACAGAACGTTAGTCCAATTACATCTTAATATGCTTACATTTACGTGTAGGACTAGTCTATATTTCTACGAGTTGTTGACGACCATTTATACTTTGCACGGACTTTGGAATTTGTCAAACTAAATAAACATCCATATCCAAAATCAAGATCACTGTGATTGTTTTCTGACTTCAATTACGTCTATTAAATCTACTTCACTCGAAATTTACTATAATAGACAGATCAAGTCGTCGTTTCTTGCCCGCCAGGTATCCATGGTATTGGTCGATGAAACGCTACCAGGAATGCCCAATAGGCGTTCTAGTGTTATGTCGGTAATACCCAAGGTGGACCCCTTCTCCTCTGAGCGGAGGGAACTGGAAATTTCTCCCCTTGTCAAGTCGTATCTAAAGTTCGTCCTGTTTACTGGAGCAGTGAACAACAATTCCATTGCATTAGGACATTATGAAAGCAAACAAATCTCCTCTGAGACGTCTTTTTTTATTTGGTGTGAAATGGTGACATTTGGAGAATGTGAAATGAAAATGTGAATTTATTTCCATATAATTCTTTGTTAAAGCCACAGGAGCCACTGGAGAGCGGCAGGGTCACCCACCCCTGCACTAGAGGGATTTCTACAGTCTTATATTCAATTTAAAACATGAATGCAATAAAATAATTATAAGTAAAAATACAATAATATATATAATTTAATGAGAAGCTGAGACAAAGATGTTTTCACTGTAAAGAGATCAACACCAAAAAAACCCAGAACTGATTCAGTCTGAAGTCTCTGAAACAATAAACAAGGTCAACTGGAGATAAACATCATAGTACACACACACACACACACACACACACATACACACACACATTAAGCTGATGTAGACAGATAAACAGCGACTGCAGCTCTGACCTTCACTTACAGACTTTACATTGTTTTATTAATATAAAATTTGAATGTTTGAAAAATGCAGCAGAAATGAGCAGATTGTTCTGCAGCTGGTTCAGTTCTGCACAAAAATTCATGTTCTTGCTGTTTTACTAATTAAAAACAGGAAAATAAAATAATATAGAGAGACCAGATTCACATCAGGTCCATTAACACAAATCGCAATCCTTAAACCTGGCTCTGGTTCTGTTTGTGGACCAGGTTGCGGCAGTAACTCAGGACATACACTAACGAGTTTGGACTAGTAACTACGGAAACAATCAAAAATCCATCGTCAGGGGACAGAAGTGGATGCTGTAAACTGCTTCACTCTTTTCTTTTCAATATGTACATCTCATAGCTTATCGGTTATAAGAGTTTATTTGCAGTAGTTTAAGTTATTGTGTCACATCGTAGTAAGACAGATCGATATTGAAATAAAAAAATAAGTTCTGGCTTGTGTCACAAAATCGCTGCAATCAATAAAAACTGACTGAAACAATACCGTGAACTTCCCAAACAAACTAAAATAAAATTAAAATATACAGGAAAGGTCTTTAGTTTTGTCAGTTTGGTCAAATTTGTGAGCACAAGAAGCACAACGAGGCACTGGTGAATATGTCTAGGTTTGTTTGTATTGTAATACATATTCCTGTAATAATAATAATAATAATAATAATAATGTATATATCTATAATGCCTCCAATATTATGATCAGAAACTAACAGTGAAACTAATAAAAACTCAATTACGCATCGTTTTATCTGCTTCTGGTGGGAACGCAGCATCAGTTATTCTCTTATATACAGTAACTTATCCCTGTGGTCCAAACACTTTTATTCTAATAATAAATCACAACTCTGAGCTGACACACCTCTGCTGCGACAGGCTCCAGCAACGGTTGTTAATGTGACTGAACCAGTGGTACTCCATCAATGACCCCCCCCGCCTATAACAAGACAGCGCTGCACCATCAGTGTCTGATTTATTTACCCCTGAATGATTCATCTCCAATGTTTAGAATCCGTCACTAAATTCATGTAAACTATTTTTTTCTCATTGTGCAGTAAGACTGCATTGAAGCTGCGTCCTTTAAATAAGTACATTTAGTGAGAAACATGAGCTTCCCTAAGGATCTCTGTCATTGTCTGTGGCGGAGAGGAAACTGCAGTAACCTGTGTTTTACAGCAGTTCACAACTACACTGGAAATATGAATATCAAATATAAAACGTGGTTGATCAAAGTTACATTTACAGTTATTTATTGAACTTTGGCAGACAGAACATAACATGCATATTCTAAGAATGATGCATGTCTGATATTTGTGCTGCGGTACTCCAAAGTACCTCTAGTTGAGAAACTAATTGTTCTTTCTGTTCCTCTCTGTGTTCTGTCTGCAGCCGGGAGAACCACCACCAATGAGGAGCTAGAAGACATGTTGGAGAGTGGCAAACTGGCCATTTTCACCGATGATGTAAGCACTGCACCTGAGCCCGGCTGTAGCCGTGGGTCACTTTAACCTGAGCCGCTCTGCGTCACCCGCCAGTAACGTCCCCGCCAAGGGGGATGCAGAGCGGCCATGAGGTGCGCTGTGACATCAAGTGAACATGGCCTTTGTCACAGGACCAGAGGGAGGATGATGGGAGGATGTGTGAGCACTGTGAAGCTCTTATTTTGATGGAGTAACTTCACATTACCATTCACTCCTTCAAATTAAAAGCTTGCATATGTTGCAGCTGAGAATTAATTTACTGAGCTCCTTAGGTTGAAACCAGTGATGTCACAGTGTACTGACCAGTTCAACCAGTGGCGGTCAGAATAAACAGCAGGTAAGTGAGTGGGACACTGTGGTAACAAAGGAAACTGGAGTTCAGAGTTCTGACCACATTTACATCGATTGAATCTTCAGCTGGAAAAAAAAGTTCAAAAAGTGCTCGTATGAACAGGGGCGTGTCCAGAGGGGGGGCTTGGGTGGCCCCCCATTATCTTTCCCGCTTTCTTTCAGAGGCTGTAGCTTTTTAAAGCTAGAGTGAAGATACTGGTATCATATGAAACTAGATGATCGAAGGCGTCTGACTATTATTATAATTTTATTATTTTTTATTTTTTATTTTAGAATTTCTGCTCCAGTCAGAAGACATTTTCACTGTAAAAAAGTAATTCTCTTAACTGACCGGTTTGTCTTTGAGTTAAAACTAACATAGTACCAGTTTTTGGTTGTATTTTGTTACGTAAAACATCATTTTGTGTATTTTGTGATATGTTTTTTGTTGTTGATTTTTTATTGGTTTTAGTCGCTTTGTCTTTAAATCTAAAACTGGAAAATAATGTTTGTGTTAAAACCCGTCCGCTCCTGCAGATCAAAATGGACTCTCAGATGACCAAGCAGGCTCTGAACGAGATCGAGACCCGACACACCGAGATTATCAAGCTGGAAAACAGCATCCGCGAGCTGCATGACATGTTTGTCGACATGGCCATGCTGGTCGAAAGCCAGGTACGACGTGATAACAGGACAGTGTGTCTACATGTTAGAGACTGTTTGGGCGTTGCGTGTTAAATCTGCATGTGTGTTTAGGGAGAGATGATTGACAGAATTGAGTACAACGTGGAACACTCCGTCGACTATGTGGAGCGAGCCGTATCCGACACCAAGAAGGCCGTCAAATACCAGAGCCAGGCCCGCAAGGTAACGTTCCTCAGAAAAACATCAAAACCTGTGTCCATTTAGGAGAGACCTTATAAGGTGGACCTTATTTTGGAAAAAAATATAATGAGAGACAAATAATTTGTTGATCCTGTTTGAATTGTGCCATGAATTACAAACAAACTTGCAAGTAACAAAAGTTGCAGTTTTTTGGGTGTCTATACCTATCTGTCTGTCTCTTGTCTGTCCCTGCAGAAGAAGATCATGATCATCATCTGCTGCGTCATCCTGGGCGTGGTCCTGGCGTCAACCATCGGTGGCACGCTGGGCTTCTAAAAACTCCGCCGCCTGCCGCTGTGACGACCGACACCGACCGACCGTCTGACCGCCAGCAGAGAAAAAGAAACACCGACGACAACAACAACACAAAAACTTGAAACACAAATGCAAGACAGATAACCAATCAGCTAGGAAGAGATAATCCAATCACAGATAAGAGGAAACACCGCGGGGTTGGGTGGGGTTCAAAAAACAAAGACAAAAAAAACACAATAAAAACGCCATCACATAATAGCTGACTTAAATACATAACATATACAAAAAGAGGGTACAAATAAACCTACTATTTATTACAGATGTACATGTAAATGTATTGAACATATGAAGCAACACATGGGTTAGCTACCTGTAAAAAATTATGACCTATAATATGACATTTACTTGTTTGTTTGTTTGTTTTGCCTTTTTTTCTTATTTTTTAACAGTTTCTTTCGTTTTTCGGGAGTCTCCGGACAGTGATGGTGACTGCTGCTGGGTGCGAGTTCTGCAGGAAGAGCATTCCAGAGCCAACTTTTAAATGTTTGTTCCTTTCTTACATTTGTTTTCTGGAACTGAGCGCAGTCGACTCCGAGAAAGAATAATCTTTTCAGCTCCGTCAGAAAATTCTGGAGCTCAAGAACTCTGCGCTGCATTCCGGAACGGGAAGGTTCCGGAGCACAGACAGGAACAGAGTGAGGTTCCGGAATGCTTTCAGTTACTGTTCCAGGATGCTCTCAGTTGATGTTCCGGGAATGCCCTCAGTTTAGTTCCGGAATGCTCTCAGTTGATGTTCCGGAACGCAGTCCTGCAGGACGAGCACCCTCTGGCTTTGGTAGAACAAACTTTGTCCCCGTGTTTCTGGGAGGGAGGGACCGACCTCGCTGTTGGCTCAGCCACCTCTTTAGACCACCTCTTATTGGTTGCTCACTCCTGTCATTCACCTCAGTCAGCCTATTAAATTAGCTTAGACTGGCAAAGGCCGACCTGCCACACGCCATTTAAAAACATGACGAGGAAAGAGAATGACGCGCCACCCACTGAGCTGTTTTTGTCAGCCACCTGATTAGTTGGGAAAACACCATGTGGGGAGGGGGAGGGGGGGGTGTAATTGCAATGTGGCAGGTTTCCACAACAACAACCTCCCCTTCTTGTCACACCTATCCAACCAAAGAGCAGGGGAGGGAGGGCCTCTGTAGTTTTCCTGCTGAATCCAATTGGCCAGCGGCAAAGAACGTGACGTTTGACTGACAGGTGAACAGTGGGAAGGAAGGAGGGTAGGAGTAGGAGGGTTTAAAGTAGGGTGGGAGGAGACGGACAGTCAATCTATGCAGTTTAGATAAGAGGAAGACGACTCGTCCCGCCTCCTCCACCCGAGATAGCCAATGAGGATCGGGGGGCTCACCTTACCGCACCAAAAGGCTTGTCGCACTGATCGCTGTAGAAATATTGTAGTCAAGGCCGGGTGTCATCTCCAAGCTGTCACAACTGTTCTTCCGGAAGATTCTAAAAAATGAAGAGAACACATTAAAAAGTAAAGAAGAAATAAACTAAAACATAACAATATAAAACTAACAAACAAGCTAGACAATAAACGAGATGGACAGAAAACGTAGAAAACTCTGAAGATGCTGGCGTGCCCTGGTTACCCGAGTGTCGTGGTAATATTGTTGCTTTTTTGTTAATTAATGGGGAACGTTTGTTGCTTCGTTGTTCTGTGGTGCTGCTGTTTTAGTGCGTGCGTGACGTGTCCCGTGACGTATCGGCCTGACATCATTTAGCGGTTACTGTTTAGTCTGTATGGTTTGATGCATTTGCCTGTTTCCTCCCCGCATCCCTCCATCTCCTGCCTGAGTGTGTGTTTGGGGATTGTGATGTTTCATTCTCACCATTTAAATGCCTGAGTTGCACAGGTGCTACTGAACAGAGGATTTTCTCCATGGAAGGTGGAACATGTGACACACACACATTTACATACATTCACAGCACATGCATGAACACCTCACATATACATGTCACACTGAAAATTCCTCCAAACTCTCCTGTGTTACACGTCCTGCCAGTGCTAGTGTTAGACTGGGTCGCTTAGCATGCTGTAGCGTTAGCTCGTGTTGTGTGTAGATGGTGTAGAAGCTGCTTTTTGGAGACTGATCACAAGTTTTCTGCTCTTTTTTAATGTTAGGCACTTTCCGTGTGTCCAGACCAATGTTGGGGAAGGAATGAAGTTCATTTTTGACCTTGGAAATTGTTTTACAAAATATTCTTAACTCAAGGTTCACTTGCTAGCTTTTTCCAGAGCGTATAACTGCATCTCACAGTCTTCAACAGTGGTTGGACTTCAATTTGCCAATGATGGTTGAACGCTTTGGAAAGGGCCAGTAAGCTAGTAGCTAGTTAGTACGATTATTTCATCAGACTGATTACATTTAAAGTAAAGCATTTTGTGTTACCTTTTTACAATCGTGTAGCAATATACAGAAAGTGAATAACAACCAATTTTTTGTTGTTGTTTTAAAATGCATTTACTGTATATTAGATTGAATTAGCATTAGCAGTTAGCGTTATGTCTGCACAAAAATAGGACAGGACAGGAAATAACATGCTAATTTGAAGTAATCTGAGTAATGTGTTCACCTCAATGCTGTTCCAGATTGAGCTAACAACGTTACATTTCAAGACTATAAATGTTCTACTTTTGTTTCGTTATTGTGGGTTGAGAAGTTAAACAAATGTGTGTGTTGCCCCAAACTGGACACACGGGTGTGTTGAATATTACTACACAGTATTGTGACTCTGGCTTTAGATTGGGGGGGTTTTAAGGAGGAAGGTTTGTCTGCGTACGGGCTCTGTGATATGGAGGTTCCTCTGCCTCTGTTGAGGCCTACGCTGCACAATCCTGCACTGTCACTGTCAGGGTAATAACAACCACAAATACTACCTTAAACTCCACAAAATCAGTCTACACTACACTTGGTGTCAAAGCAATAACGTCAGTTATCTGTAGTAAAGTGTTAGCTAACTAGCTCACCGAGTCTAGATTCTGCCCCCAATTTAGGGGCTGTAGAGTTGCAGAGTTGTTTCAGCCTTTTGTTAATATTCTGTGAGAGTGGAAACCCTGTTTGCATGGATGTAAAACTCTCTTGACTGAAGCATCAATTTAAAAGATTAACAACTGTGTAAGAGCAACTTTGCATCTTTATTGCTCTGAAAGGCTCCGACAAGAAGCTAACGTAAAGAGTTGTATCATTAGCAAACAATCGAAGTCACAGCGAGACTGACCATTTTTGTCCAACACAATCACGTTAGCTGCTTTGTCGCGGATACTTGTGGCTGCCAGAGCGATATGTAGACATTAAGTAGTAATTGCTTTGTTGAATAAGTGTTTTCTCTGGAGTTGTAGTAGTAAGCGCTGTTAGTCGTAGATGTCCGTGATGCTGTGTAGTCGCTAGATGAAACAAAGGGTGAGGATTTTTAGTTTCAGGTTTGGAGAAGAGTGGAGGTGGGAGTTTTTATTTTATTATTTGACTTCCCAAAACCAAAACTTAACTTCTGTGTTCACCAAAGCTTAGCAAACACCCCCCAACAAGGCAGCAAAATCCAATAGATGTTTGTTCAAATTGTCAGTAGATTTAGAATACTTTAGCACTTTTCTCTACTGTTGTGTTGTTCATGGCTACATTCTGTCTAAGTGGTTTCTAAGTGGTTTTCGCTGTTTTTAGTCTGTAATACAAACACTGAATCCGTCCACAAATGGATTAAATCACGTTTGCCCCTGTAAACCAAATCTAAGTATGCTTAACTACATTTCCCAGGTGTCTTTGGAGCTCTGCTTCTTTTTTGTAATTTCTCCGGGACTCTAAACTGATTTTCAATAGATTTTACCTTCACCAGTCACAGTGCTTCGTTCATCACCTGCCAGTTACATCATAAAGTCAGCCACACAATATTTCATTCAGTTACATGTTTTCGATGGTCGATGGTTGTCACGGTCGTCGCGGTAGTCTTGCGATGGTTCTGCGGTGGTGATTGCGGTGGACATAAATCAGTGACGTGAGGATGCCGTCGAAGCACCAGCCAGCTTGTTGATACTGATGTTTCTTTGTGTGTGTGTGTGTGTGTGTGTGTGTGTGTGTTTTCTGTAAAGTTCCTGTTCCTGTCTGGCAGCCATCCTCTTGGGGGAAAAAAACATGGACAAACACCACAAAACCATAAAGGAATATGATTACGACTTGATGAATTGGAAGTTTGTCCGAGTGTTTGGTCCCGTGTCCTGTTGTCTTCCCTCTTCCTGTTTGTGTTGTAGTTGTTTGGTTGTACAAAAAGACAAGGTTGAGGATCGGGAGTCTGCCCCTTCCCTTCCCCAGCAGACCCCGCCCATCCCGTTGTGTGTAATAATGATAATAATAATAATAAAAAAGGCATGCAAAAGCGTTGTGGAGTTTGCATGATGGTGTTTTTTGTACCCCACCCCCAACCTGCCCTCCATGTCGTGCACTTTACCGCTCATCGGACCTGTTTTTGGTTAGCATGTCAGCTAACTACTTGACTCGTTCCTTCTTAATCTGAATTTTGTTATTTATTTTAAAGTTAAGCACATGTTGGAGTTACACGTCAACACATGCTTTGCTTGTAACATTGTTGGAACAGTAACTGGATTTTTAAGAGGAGTGGGTTGATATTTTAATATGAACCTGTTAAAGATTACATTTTAAAATATGCTGCCGTCAACTTTAGCCATCCTCGCCCAGCCCCTGACATCGTCCTCCAAACCTCCTGCTAGGTTATACACTTCTGTTCTCAACTGATCTCTGTTTGTTTGCTTCCACGGTTGCATTCGTGTTGTGTTCTTGTGGAGGAATCGTCCCCACGTTAAACCTTCGACCTGTGGGCTAACCTCCACCTCCACCCGGCCTTGTGTGTGTGCAGCATGCCTCCCTTCCTCTTCAGTGAAACAAGATTGGTGCATAAATGTACGAATGCGTGTGTTGGTTTGTGTCGGAGCAGCACAAGTTTGTTTTGATGTGCGAAGCGTCCACGGGTTGCAGCCATTTGATGAATGCCACTTTTATTTAAAAAATTGTGACAGATGGGAAGAGATCAGACATATTTATGGACACCATGATCACTGTTATTATTCTATTTATTAAAATTCAAACCAAAGCGTTTTTTGCCCTCCCCTCATGTGTTCTCGAAAATGTTCGCCGCTAATATCAAAGAGCACAACGCGAGTCAAGTTTACACTGATATGTTCGTCACAAATGGTGAAAAAATATATAATTAAAAAAACAACAAATGCTACCGTAACTATAAGAAACAAAAGCCCAGCCCCCCTGCCCACCACCAGCGTTCACTGCATGTTGGTCTGTCCACCAATCAAACCGACAAAGCTATCCAATCTCACACCACAACAACGATGTCTGCCTCCACACCCCCTTTCCTTTCCTTTGCACCTGTAGATGTTAGTTTGTGGTCTGGTTAGTGGAAAAATATGACGCATAATCATCTGTGAAAAAAATTAGCATATGTACGCTTCTCCTCCACTTGAGGCATATACGGAGACAACGGTGGTGCTTTCTTATTCTATTTATGAATTGCTGTTATTTTTGTTATTTTGGTGTCATTTTCTGTACAGCTCGTTTTATCAGTCTCTGTGTTCACACGACAGGATTGCTAGCAATCTCCCATAAACCTACAGTGAGCATTTTCCTGTGTGTGAGAAAAGACTGCAGCCTTGTCAACTCAAGTCACATATATACGGAAGAATATATATATAAATCTTACAACAACATACTACATTTCTATAACTGTATGTGGCTCTGTAGCCATTACTGCTTCGGTTGGCTGTGTACAGTTTTTGTCAGAGCGGGGTACAGAAAGCAGGAAAAAATCATCCGGAGAGAGTTTGGGTGCGACACCAAGACTCCAAAGATTGACTTACCGTTAGCCGTTAGCCATTAGCGTAACTGTGTGTGGGAGTAACTCGGCGTATCGTTTCACACACGTATTGGAAAATAATTTCTTGTAGTTTGAGTCACATAAAACGTGTGTGGGCACAATATGCTCCGCAGTTATTTCTGCAAATTAATTTTTCAGTGTGAACCAGCAGCACAACATCTGCAGACGGGTGTCTGTCTTCCACGTTTGTACTCAACAGACACCGAGTTCAAAGACTGTGAGGATTCAAGTTAGTCGTGCTTTTTTGTTCCTCCGTTTGTCGGACGATTAAACTCTTCTCTACGATGATTTTTGTCTTCCTGAAACAATTTTCAAAAACCAAAACCTGTTCAGTGCCCTGCTCTGGATGATGCTCAAATGAAAATGTTTGTTTGTTTGTTTGTTGTGGCTTCGATCTGCTCTTGTCAGCAGTAGCTGCGACTCGATATTTATTGTTTTCAGATTTTTTATGTGAGGCTCCACCTTTATGTCTTTCTGCTCTCTTCATCGTACGAGACAGTATTTCAGTTTGTATCAGTGTTTTTTTCCCTAGTGGGAAGGGTGGGATGAGTCAGGGGGAGGGGCCATGAAAAATAGACCACGCCCACATGGTCTCTGCCATAGCAAGTAGGAAAGACACTTAAATAACATTGTTATTATCATTATTATTGTTACTATTGTTATTATTACCATAAATGACAAATAAAAATGCAGTAAAACATTTGCAAAAACCCAGAAGGAGAACGAACGGCTTCACACAAAGTGATCAAACTAAAAACTTCAAAAAAGGGAGGTTATGACGATTCTATAATAGCAATGATTTAAAGAAGTACAAAAGGAGTTATGTTATCATAAATAATAGTAGTAATATTGAATATTGAATGCTCGCAATTTTGTCAAACTGAAACTGGATTCTTTGTGTTATGTAATTATTGTAAATAACTTCAAAGAGAGAAAAAATGACTTGCATGTCTATGTATAAATCTACTGAGATATCTATTCCCGTCAAAGTTGACAAGCAGTTCGATCTCTGTCCTTTTTTGCCCTCAAACATCAACCCGTCCTCACCTCCACCCCTCCAACCTCCCATCTCGGCGCTCCTTTTAATATTGATTTGTGACTGAGAGAAGACGGAAGAGAGAAAGAGGAACGTAGCTTCCAGCGTCTTCGTCCGCCACGCTCAGTTCAGACGCTGTGTTTACACCAGCCTGCGGAAATCTGCACACGTAGGAAGAAACGTATGATGTTGTGTCACTGAGAAGCACTGTTGTAGCTTTTCTCGCTCTTTGTTTCTGTCCAATGGAAACAAAAAGACCTTGTGTGTCGGCAGGTATTAGGACAATTTTTTTGCCTTCGTGGTGTAAACGCAGGCACACCTCCGTCCATCACCCCAGTTCCAGAGGCTCCGCCCACTGGCTCCTCTGATGAAAGTGCTTCCCTCCATATTTGGAAAATTAAAACCCCGCCTCCAGGGCTTTCCAGGCCACGCCCCCTGATCACTATGGAAGCCCTGTTAGCGGGTTTCCGAACTCTCTCTTTCTCTCTCTCTGTCTGGTTCTATGTCTCTCAACCACAGCTCAGCTAGCCAAACTTACTTACCAAAACTTGGTCTCTTTACCTGCCTGTTTCCCCAGAATGCACCCTGCACCCTGTCCTAAAAAAATATTAGTACCTAGATAGTCTGCGCTAACGTTAACCTGCTAGACTGCTAACAGCTTGATTGGCATGAGCAGCTCTAATACGGCGCCAAATTTGAATAATGCGACAAAGAAATGTCACAGTGCTGCGTTGCTTATACCCATCAAGTCAGTCGTATACAAAGGATACCACCTTTAAGAGTCCTTCTAGAAGCTAAATGTTTGTCCATTAGCTTGTGCGAAGCCTTTGTCTTTGTCCGTAATTGGCTTTCAGAAACACAAGATCTGACTTTTAACTGATCTTCCTTGGTCCCAACCAAACCACAATCTGACCCCGTCTGTGGAACCACGGAAAGAGCCGAGTCCCAAAAGCATGTTAAAGCTTAACGTGATCTTAGTCCCATTGTAAGTCTATGGGCTAAGACCAGTAGCTTTAACATGCATTGGAAATTATGCAGTTTAAATTCACATCATGTGTCTCTGCGTCCGCTCAGCCCTCTTGACGTACCTCAAAATGACACCACAGTCTTCCTTTTACGTGGATCTCCATCATTCAGTCCTCATCCGGTTCCTGGAGAAGGTTTTAGCTTCAGTTCCTCAAAGGTGTCAAAGCGCAAGAAGAAAGAGAAAATTGAATCTTGCAACAAACAGATTAAGCTAATTGTGGCTGTCTGAAAAGGAAACACGCTTACGGTTTTACCTGGTCAGACTTCCAGAAGTAGCTTAGGTTTGTGCAAAGGAAATGCAGCATTGACAGGTTTGAGGAAGGCGGTCCTCCCAGAGTCGCCACCTAACTAATTTCGGGCCCAGTCTCTAGCCTCACACAGGCCTACCGTAACAAAGCGTGCAATATTCAGAGAAACAAGGGCTTTCTTTATCATGCAGAGGCGTTCGGGCCCGGGCCGATGAGCTCGGACCTCCTGCAGGAACTCCATTAACAAAATCACCCATTTTCAGACTCCTTGTGAGACCCATTAGTTTCTGAGTGCACATGGATGAATAAGAAAGAGGCTATCTCGGGGGAAAGTGGCAGGTGAGAGACGCAAGGTTAGAAAAAATATTTCCAAAATTTAAAAAAGACGAGAAGAGGACAGGGCCATCGCTCTTCAAACGCAACTTTGACCGGAAATGCAACTTGTGTCCCGTTTTTTTTGTGTGTGTGTATGTGTGCGTAGCGTAATGTAAAAGCGATCTGTCCCCCCCCCTCCCCCTCTAAAAACAAAATACCCCCCTAACCCTGTCCATCCCCTACAACCCTGTCTCCCCCCTCTCTTACCCCTCTCTCGTACTGCTGTTGGCTGTTCTGTTTAGTTCATGTGACGTGCCAGTATTCCCCCTCCCCCTACTTTACCAATTCCCCCCCCACACCCCCACTCTCTCCCCTCCTTCTCTCTCTCTTGCTCTCTCTCCTTCTCCTCCCCCCCCCTCTCTCTCTCTTCATGGATCTTTAAGATGACAACTCTATGCAGATGCTGTCTTTTATAAGTGTGTCAAAATTTTAATTTAAAATAAAAACTTAAAAAAAACAAACCCTGACAGACATATTGAAATGATAACAAAAAATGAATAAAGAAAAGGATTGTTCAGTGTACTCTTTCTGCCTGACGGGATCTTTATTGCTTTGTGTCTTTTTAATAATTTCTCTGATCAAATCACCCGTTTTCTCTTTTAAACTGTACCTGAACTAATGTATCTATGAAGTAATGTATGAAAGTAACGTAGTACAAAAGTAATATATAAAAGTAACGCAGTATGAAAGTCATGTATAAAAGTAACGAAAGTAATATATGAAAGAAACGAAAGTAATGTATGAAAGTAACGCAGTATGAAAGTAATGTATGAAAGTAACACAGTATGAAAGTAATATATGAAAGTAACACAGTATGAAAGTAACACAGTATGAAAGTAATGTATGAGAGTAAAGAAAGTAATGTACGAAAGTTTCATTTTTTTAATGTCTTTCCAAATTAAAACTGACCACTGGAAACGATGAAGAACCTACCAAAATAAGAGCACTAATATGTTTCTGTGAACTCTGTGACGTGTAGAAACAGGATTTATTTATAAAAACACAGAACACAGAAACCATCACAGCAGCTCTCACACACTTTCTGTTCGTTTGAGTGAAACTGTAACGAAACACACATTTTTTATTCTTGGTGGTGAGTATTGATTGTATTATTATTATTATTACTATAAAAATTATGTTTTTGCTGTATGTTAAAGGATCCACTATATGTCAGTGGTATATACACCATATATTGTGTATATAACTTTAAAGGTGTTGATCACAAGGTCCACAATGACGGAAGTGGAGGTGAAGTATTGCGAAGTTATTGAACGAGTGATTAGGAAATCAGATCATCCGGTTTTGTAAGAAAAAAGACGACATGATTTATCAGATGTTTCTGTCTTTGTTCAATTATTAAAAACACAAATATGTAGTTTTATGTTTGAGAAAGAGAATTTGTCAGGGACTATTTTCAGTGGCGGATGAATCCACATTTTGTGTTTTTGAATCAAATTTGCAGAAATGTTCTGTTTTATTAAAAACCACCAAGAAGAAAAAATAAAAATCAATCTGTTACAGTTTGAATGGAAGTGATGCTGCTCGCTCATTAACAAATCAAGGTCATCTACAGATATTGGTTTGTATATAAAAGCTCATACAGAGGTTAGGATACAGAGGTACAATAACGACACATCATCTAACCGAACAGCACCAACAGTCTACGGCTACGTTTCTACAGGTCGATTCCCTACGATGCCATTTTGCATCCCCAACTGAAATAAACCGGATTATTCTGACCATCTGAAACAAATGTCGTATGTTCTGTGATTAAATAAAACTCTGAAGGCTGAATAACATTTTACTTCATTACGTGTCAGAAGATAAGTCACAGTGCAACAACTATTAAAATGTCTTTAAATTGTGACTTAATATCTCATAATTACTGTACTAAGAAATTACTAACAAAAGTTTTTGTGAGATATTGGTTTTTTTTTCATAATTATGATTATAAATTATCTCCTTCTCATATTATCATTAGGAAAATAATTATGAGATTTCTCCTAATTACAAGATCCAGATCTCACAAATATCAGATCTGTATCTGATAATTAGTAGAAGATATTTTCATAATTAATGAAAGAAGAAAGAAAAAAGAAAAAAACATTCTCATATTCACCAGATTCATATTTCTTTTTAGATAATTTAGATACATTTTCAGGAAATTATGAGAGATCGTCATCATGTTCACATATATATAAGATTATATAAGAGATCTGTATCTGATAATTAGCAGAAAATATTTTTAGAGTTACGAGCTCTGTGTAACTGGGTGATTATGAAAATGTTTTTATCTTGTACTTAATGTTTTCTCATAATTGCAGAATCTCATAATTATGAAAAAAAATAATTACAACAAAACAATCTCCTAATTACCAGATGCACATCTTGTGATCATGAAATCAGATACAGATCTCACAATTTGGATACATTAACTGATAAATTCAGGAAAGTGTCTCGGATTTCTCTGTAGGAATGAAGGTTTGAGAAAGGGACACAAAATGGCCGCCACAATGACTGCAGCTGTTGAACCAGGTCAGATTTCGGTTTCACTTCCTTTGTGCTGCAGATTGTGAGCGACACACGGGCGTCATCACATCGTTACTTTTATAAATTCTACTTCTCTTTAGTTTGAACCACAACCCTTCGACTAACGGTATATGTGAGTTATCAGGCACAGAGTCACAAAGTACAGGTGCCCCAAAAACAAAGTGAACACTCAGATAGGAGGTGAAGAGGAGGAGGAGGACGGAAGAGGAGGAGGAGGACGAGGAATCATTGACGTCTGTTCTCGGTGAGTTTCTTCAGGGACAAAAACTACACGGCTCCCAACAGCAGCTTTGTCCTCGACAGAAATCCCCCATGAATCCGGTCCGAGCTCACGTCCAAATCCATCCAGTTTGTTACGGAAGCACTTTTATACCAATATCAACGTTTTATCATTCAGTGTTTTTTCTTATAATAATAATTTGGAGAAACTTCCTCATAGTTGTATTGATTATGAAATGTTATCTCATTAATTACTAGTAGTACTAGTATAATTAGTTTCACCAAATTATGAGTTTAAATCGAAGTTATGAGATTGTATCTTATTATAATAATAACATAATTATGATAGCATTTTTCCTAATTATTACATATTAACTCATATATATGAGTTTAAAAACAGAGATAAAAGAAACAAAGTTAGTTTCTCAGAGATGATCAATAATAATAATAATAATGTGATCATCAATCATAATTATTAAAGGTTCTCATTATGAGAAGGTGTGTTACAACCTTCATATTTATGAGAAAATATAATTATAACAGTATATCACATTGAAACTCATTCAGGAGGCAGTTTGTTCTCTACAAACATTTAAACTAAAAACTAAGCAAATGTGAACTATTTAATTAATACAATTACAAATTACTGAGCCTGAATTATTTTTTATAATTATGAGATTCTAAAATGTAAAATTATAAAATCTAATACGGTAGTTTTTCTTCACAGGGCATGAATGGGCTTCCATAGGCTGCCTGAAGAGGAGAGTGCTGATTGGCTGCGACCAGGTGATGATGATGATGATGATGATGATGATGATGATGATGATGAAGGTCCACGTCGTCCGACTATGTGAAACTAAAGCTCCCAATGACGTTGTCCACTGCGGCGTCTGTCCACCTGATACACGCTCTAACCTCCACAGGTATGATTCCCATCAGTGCAGCTCGTGTTTACAGGGTTTTTTTGGCTGCCCCGAAGGCATCTGAACCCACAAAAACACATTTTCTCTGTTTTCTCTCATTCGAGTCTGAAGATCAACAAAAGAAAACACAAAAACACACACACAATCTCCTCGTTTTTCGTCCACGTTGATGTCGTCCAGGTCTCTTCGTCTTCAGTTTGTTCTTCCACTTCACAGTTTGTTTGAGGGTTTAGGTTTCACTGAACACTGAGTCTGAACCTGAACACATCGTGGAGGTCATCAGTCGCAGCACTGAAACGTACGATCCTCCTGAACACATCGTTTACACCTCAAACTCCAGTTTCTGTCTCGTAATCACAGTTTCATATAAATGAAATAAACCTACACTGTAAAAAAACTGTTAGGAAAACTCATAATTTCAAATGAACTGTTTTCACTACACTTTTAACTTTAAAATTTTAAGTTTTGAATTAAACTAAAAAGGCATTTTGCTCTGACCTGTAATCTTTAGTTGATTTGTCATTGTTTGTTTTATTAAATATTTGCAATTGAAAATTTACTGTCTTTTACTCTATTTTTAAAAAAGTCAAAGAATCAAGTTTTAAATTAGAAAAGTAAATTAGTGTTAATTATTATTAGTTTATTTAAAAACATAAGAGTTTGACTTAAAACTCAAAAATGTAATAAAGACAGTTGCCTTGAAATTACAAGTTACTGTTTTCTACAGTGTACTGCGTCCGTCCTGCAGCTTGTCATCGATGTAAAAGTCTCTAATGTACAAACAACGATTACTTGAGGCTGGAGGAAGAGGTCGTGGAAAGAATACCCATAATGCACCTCTGCAGAGGAGCCAGAAGTCTTTAAACCTACAGACCGATACCAACGAGTCCAACGGGGCAAAAGCAGTCACCCATTCACTGTCAATGGGAATATGAAGGTCTGTGAGCTATAAAAGAGTTCACAGGAAACAGGAAATGACCTGTATCAGTAAAGAGGCTCTTTAGCTGTCAGATTAAACATTTAAACTCAGAGAACGAAGAGGAGCTTTAAATATGAGTAGAGTTCAGATATTTCAGGCTGACTGTCAGATTAAAGATCTGGAGGCAACAGTGAGGAAGGCGGATGACGTCCCTCGAGACAGTGGCACACCCCTCCAGTGCACCTTCATGTGGTGCCTCAGGTTGGATCGCAATGAGAAGCGTTTGTCGCACTGCTGGCAGGAGAACGGCTTCTCCTTGGTGTGGATGCGGCGGTGGCAGACGAGCGCCGTCGACACCCGGAAGGACTTGCCGCAGTCGGGGCAGCGGTAGCGTTTGGGCTCGGTGTGGATCCGCCGGTGGTTCTTCAGGGACATCAGGTTGGGGAACTCCTTCTGGCAGGAGTTGCAGAAGTAGGTCCCGGTCTTGTGGCTGTTCTTGTGGTTGAGCAGGGAGCTGGCGTGGCGGTAAGAGCGACCACACTGACCGCAGACGAAGGTCCTGGAGCTGCTGGACGAACCCACTGGACTCAGATCTGAGAGGAGACAAACACCAGGGTTTTAGTTCAGATAGGGAACTGATCCAGACTCCAAAGAGAGCGAGGAGGTCCTGCACAGTGTCTACAAAGAGGACAAAACCATCAAGTCAGTTTAATATAAAACTAGTTCAGCACTGAGCCGCTCTGCAACCTCAACCTGTCTGAAGAAAACAAAAACTCTAAAATACAGAGACCTGATTCTCACAGTTACAGGAAGAAACCTCATAATTAAAAGATTAAGAACAACAACTGTTTAATTATTAATCTGTATTTTATTAATACAGGAAAACAAAAAGCAATCTCATGATGATCTTCTTCAGCTTGTAAACTAATTAAACACAATTTTATCACTGGAACGTAATTTCAAGTAATATTTAGTTTCAGTATCAGCCTGTTAATTGTTCCCGTTCATGGAGTCTCACATCTATGATTAGTACGGAGCTAAAATAGGACGGAAAAACAAAACAGGAAACAGCAAAGTGTCAAAGGTCAGTTCTGATCTCTCAGTATGAAGACTCCGATTTTAAGAAGTCAAAAGAAAACAACCATAAAACGGCTTTTCAGAATAAAACAAAGAGCTTCATTAACGAGCGTTCAGTTTACAACCAGAGTCACAATAAAGTGATTAATGTTCGATTCCCTGGAGGTCGTCCGTCTGCCGGTTGGGTCTGAGCTGCGTGACCGAAGGGTCTTCATTTATAAATCTACCATAAAGGTTTTTACACAGAATCCGACTGTGGAAACTTTATAAAATACAAACTGCAGCTTTTGGGTCCGTTTGGTTCATTTAAAAATGATCCAGGTTGAGAACAGAAAGTAAATCCTCGACATCCTCGATGGTTTCTTCCTCAAACACAAATCTTCATCATCATCAGACAGTTCAGTAAAATCCGGCATTTTCTGAATGGAGTTTGGTGTAGAAACGTTTCAGTGCTGTTGTTTGAGCTGTAAAATGGATCCATAGATTCATATTCAGACCTCCTTACTTTCGTTTTAAAGACATTATCAAACGTTGTGGGGAAGCAGGACGGTGATGGTTTTATTTAACTATTACATTTAACGTTATTATTTTATATAAATATATATAACTGTTAAATTCATTCTGTATGAAAGTGTGACGCTGATATAAAACTATTTATTTCATTTTATTTCCCAGAAGTTGAAGAGTAGAATCGTCTGTTATCTGACACCTGAGATCTTTATTATGTAAATAAATTGTTTTATGTTTATTTGTTAATTCACTGTTTCCATGGAAATGTAACGACATAAAGGTAAAGCTATAAAATGAAGACTGGGTCCAACTGGAGAACAGTATCGGGTCTTTCTTCTTTTTTACATTCATTTTTAGAAATTCTGAATTTTATATTTTATAAAACAGAAAAAATATTTATTTATAAAGCATTTTTCCATCCAGACGTGACTGAAAATAAAAATTTCTGCACTCTTACATCAATAAATGACTTTCTTTACAAGCCTTCAGTCATTAAACCCATTAAGAAACCAGAGATACCGGATGTTCTGTTTAAAATCTTAAATTAATCTGGAACCAACCAAACTTAAATCTCAAAAACAAGTGTTTACAAAATGTTCAGAAAACTCATTAAAGTGAAAAACTGTTAATTAATTATTTTAAGTTGGAAAACAATCGGACTCACAGCTCACTATAAACAGTTTTTTAAAAATACAGAATTTTAAGTTTCTGAAACTAAAAGTTATTTAAAAAAGTTAAACGTTTTACAGTGTTCAGTGAAACTGTCTCCACTAAATTACAAACTGAAACTCGTTTTTTAGTAAACTAATAATTAATGATCATTTACTCAGAAAAACTTAAACTTAAAAACAAAAAAATAAAAAATAAAACTAAATAATTAAATACTTTTAATCGCAAATATTTAATTTTCAAGCACCAAATAATGAAAAATCGTGTTCACTGAGAACAATTTACATTTGTATATATTAATAAATATAAATATTTTAAGAAGAAAAGTAAATTGTCTCAACAACAGATTATTATTAGGTTGTTTATTTTAGAGCTTTAAAATGTGAATTAAAACTTTAATGTTTTCTCAACTTTTTCCTTTAGTCGTATCAGGATCTCAGGTTTTTCTTTAAGATGGTTTGTGATGCTCGTTGGGTTAGTTTCCAGTTGTTTTATAATTTTGTGTGATTTGTATATTTTATGCACCAATGCACCAGGACACATTCCTTGTAGGTGTAAAAACCTACTTGGCAATAAACCTAATTCTGATTCTGATCCATTAAAACCTGAAGGCAGTGAGAATAAAAGGATAGTTTGGTTCATCAGAGCCCCTGGAGGTTGAATAAAGTCACATATTGGATTGAAGTGGATTAATCCGCTGCTGAAAATAGTCCCAACAGATGCTCTGTTTCACGCCAACCTGATGAATCTGAAACAAATTTAAACTCTGAACAACCGGAGAACACTTCCTGCTGGCGGCTCCTTCAGAGTAAAAGCCCTCCAGCTGGAACTCTCTCAGTTATCAAAGGAAATTAAAGATCTTTTGAATCTGGATTAATGTTAGTTTTTAGGTTTTAATCAGTGTTTTTACATCATTTGTCTCCCTGGTGTTTATTTTTATATCAGCTTTAATTGTTTGTTGTCTTTATATTTAGATTTTTTGTTTCAGTTTGTTGTGTGAAGCATTTTGTATCAATAAAGTTAATCCTGATATGTTTTTGATTGATTTCTCTTTTCATGTTTATCTTCTAGTAAATATAATTTTACTTTTTATTTCTACTTTATAGACTTTGTTCTATTTTTATTTTACAGTTTTAATAAACTGTAATGTTCTGTTGAGCAGCTGAAACAGTCAAAATATATTGACACATTTTTATATTTCTCATTCATACAAAGTGAAAATAATTATTTGTGCTCTATAATTAGAATTTAATGAGTAAAAATGACTAATTACAGAATATGTTCTAAATCAATCTGCTTTAAAGAGATTTATTTATTCTCTACATAATTAATAAATGATAGATTTGTAGTAACAGTTATCTGGCTCTATATACATCCTTTTATTTATTACTGTATAAATAATATTTATTAATTAAATCTGTCACTTCCTCCTCCTGCTGTCATCCATCATCCTATCAACACAATATCTTTATATATATTTAATTGATTATTATCAATAAATCACAACAAACTCAGCTCCCATTAAGACCATTAAGACTGAATCCTAAATGTGTAAATTAATATTAATTATTATCAGTAGAAATAAATGTTATGTTGGGAAACTGAACCAGAGTTAAAAAACTGTTTCTACTCGTAACTCTGACATTGAATCATCCGGACGCCGTTACAGGAGACGGTGACGCAGCCACTGAGAGGCGGGAACGTATTGATTACATTACCCACAGTACGAACCAGGAATGTCCTCGTTGTGCTGGTTGTAATAATCTATAATAATTGATCCTAATGAACTGAGTGTATTCACTGTCAGTCTAATAGGAGCGTTGTCGATGGGTGGCGGTGTTGCTTTATACTTTTTATCCACTCACACAATATGCAGCATTTATTTAAAGCTGCTGTATTATACAGGTGCAGAGCAGTGGTTCCCAACCTGAGGGTCAGGGCCCCACTGGGGGTCGCCAAAGTTTCACAGGGGGTCGCAAGGCCTTCTTGATTTTTAGGGGTGTAAAAAAAAAAAATTTTTTAAATATTCACAGTTGGGGTAAATCTCAGTGTTTGTCTAACAGAAGAATGGCCAAGTTTCAGGGAGAAAACAGTAAATGTCAGTAAAGAAGAATATTAGTTAAGAATATAGAGTCTTTAAAATACAGAATACAGACAGAATTGTATCAAAAGTTCCCTAAACAGGAAATAATCAGCTTGAAATAAATAAAATCTCTGGTTCACTGTTTGGGTTCATTGTTCAGTTTTCAATAATATGGATTATAAATCAAATACGTCAGTTTAATAAATGATCGAAAAGGTTCCTGATATATTAAATAAAACACTGAAGTTAGTTGAACTGTGCTTCAGAATCCATTTTAAGATCCTTTTATTGGTTCATAAAGACTTCAGGGTCTCAGTCTCACTCATGGACCAGACTTTACACCATGAACCCTGAAACCCTGAAACCCCGAAAACCCTGAAACCCTCAGACCCTCTGGTCCTCTGGATCTCTGGATCTCTGGTCCTCAGACCCTCTGACCCTCTGGTCCTCTGGTCCTCAGACCCTCTGACCCTCTGGTCCTCAGACCCACAGACCCTCTGGTCCTCAGACCCTCAGGTCCTCTGGTGTTACCTGTGTCACTCTGGTTCTGGACTCTGGAAGCTTCCCGAGGACCTGAGAGCAGCACAGAGTGGATCTCAGTAAACTCAAGACTTCCCTTTTTAGTCTGGCTTTGAACTGATGTTTGATTTCATCAATTTTAATCTTTTATCCTCTTTTTTTTTGGTATACATTTAATCCCTTTTATTACTCTGTATAATCTGTTTTATTTGGTTTATTCTTTTCTTGTCCTTGATTTTCCTCTTTTTATATTTCTGCCTCCAGTTTCCTCAGTTTGTGTTTTATTGTTCACAGAAACACATCTAACTTTACTCTGTGTATTTAAGTCTGACTGAAGCAATAATGTTAAAATGGATTACATTGAATATTTTATGTAACACAAACTCAATTTAAACTCAAGTTAGAAACATTCTTGATTAAATACTTTTTTTTCCAGTTCAGTGTCACTTAAATCGACTAAAGAATGATCAATAATCTTTTTTTAACTTACAAAATTGAGTTTTACTTGTAATTGTGATCAGTTTTGATGATTTTTTGAAGTTGAATTAACTTTAAAAATATGTTTAATTTCTTCACAGAAATGAACCAAACTCTGAGATATCGACCTGCAGTGTATATTTTATGTTTTCTTACACTCATTAAAATCATCTCACGACCCCCGGTGAAGCTTTGGCGACCCCCAGGTTGGGAACCACTGCAGGAGAAGAAGAGCCGATTGAAAACACCTCGACTGCGTTTTGTTTTCAGCTATTTATTTTCAGTACTCAGCAGTAAGGGTTATAGTATATGGACAAGTTCTTCTGTTAAGAAATGAATTATCAAAACATAGTTTATAAAAGTGTATAGTAAGCATTACATATATATGCATGGAAACAAAAGTTAGACTTTAAAACAAAAGAGGGGGGTTATAGTTGTTCCAAACCGATCTTTTTTCTTCTTCTTCTTCTCTCTACAAACTACTTGAAAAGCAGGCGGGAAAAGTGTCCACTCAGAAACCAAAACCGAACATGGTGGAGGAGGAAAATGCAAAAACAAAAATAGAGAATGTACAGTTATTATTTCTGTGTTCTAGATCACATCGACTCCTACAGCACTTGACGGTCACTGCACGGCTTTGACTTTTTTTTCTTTTTTAAAACTAGCACCAGTGCTCCTGAAAACGCTGACACACACACAGAGGCTTCCAGATAGTCAATTAAATATAAAGGAAACAAAATAATAACACCAATAAATACAAGAGGTTACCATAAAAGTGTAACATAAAAGAGGTTCAAATGATGAGGACTGAATGCACTCCAAAGAAAGAGGAGGATCACCGAGTCGTCCCTTTTCAACGTGAGTTTGATTTTGGTGAAACAGGAAGGAGGCGGGGGAGGGGGGGGGGGAGGGGAGGGGGAGGGGGGGAGGGAGGGAGGTGGAGGGGGTTCAGTCAAACTCGATGGAGAGATAAATACGGAAGAGAGGGACGATGGGAAGGCTCGACTGAGAAAGACAACATCACTTAGATAAAAGGCAAGAAAAACACTTTCCATCGTGTGGTTACAGTTCCTTAAATCTTCACACATCAGAACACGGAGAGTCTCAGTGGAGCCAGAGTCCGTCATCTCCACAGAACAGGGGCATTGTGGGTAAAGGGGGGGTGTTTTACATCAACACAGCTCTAAACTCACACATCCTAAAGACTAGCGCCGTCCATTACAAGTGTTAATAATAATAATAATATAAATAAATGCATTACTACAATGATCTGTCGTCTTTTTTCCTTCTTATAAAAGAGGTACTGTAGAGAATACAGTCAGAAGTACGAGTACAATACAGGATCAAACAATATACAACCTTTCTTTACAGTTTGTGACGTGGTTTCTCTCTCAGCGTTCGGCCGGGCGGTACAGTGAGACAGAGGAAGTGTTCACACACACAGATTCAGGTTTAACCGTCAGAGCAGCACCCGTCTCCAGAACGAGGCTCTACCCTTAAAACAGTGGTTTTTTGAATGGAGTTTGGTGTGACAGTGTCGAGCAGAGGGGATTTGAACCTTAATAAATCCCATAAACTGAGCTGACCTTCTAATAATGAAGCTTTACAGCAGAAAGTAACAGGAAGTGGAGATAAACCCTCCTGTTTCCTTCTTCTGTGGTAGTAAAAGGTGGATTAATAAACACAAACATTAGTTTACAGAAACGTCACATTGGACTCAAACAGTTGTTTATTGATTCTATAGAACGACAGATTATTGATTGATTGGCTCCGACTGGTTTTTAGAGGATACCTACAGTATGTCAGAATTTACATTTACCGCCAGTCAAATTAGAGCGACTGCTTCCTCCCAAAAGGGGGCGGGGCTTGCTGCAAGGCCAAAGTAGCGGGACGGGCTTTGGCCACTGGATTTAGGGGCTCGGTGACCCTGAAGACGTCTGCAAATGTTTTATGTAAAAACAAATGTTAGATATGTTAAAAGATTAGTTTTAAACCCGACTCAAAGTCCACCTACTTCTATTTTTTGGAGCTTTCAACCGTATCATTCTTTATTTTTAGAGTTTTAGTTAGTTATAATACGAACTCGGGAGCTTTTAGGTCTGTGACGTTGAAACAGAAACTCAACATCCACTTACTGGCTTTTTTTCTTGAGTTGAGACTGTTTATTACTCGACTTCACTACATAACGAGTTTTTAACAAAATGGAGGAAAAGCTGGTTGCCACGGTGATGCTGATGATGATGATTAGTAGGAAATAAAAGACCTCATCTTTCAGTCAGAACAACGACTGACTCACAGTGTAAATGACGCAAAACTCACCTGCTAGCTTCGGGCTAATGCTACCGTTGAATCTGTGCGTGTGAACGAGGCGTCAGGAAGTGGTCTCTGTTTGGGAAGCTACAAGAATATAAAGCTCATCTTGGTGCTGGAGAACACACACACACATACACACATTTAAACCAGACCCTCAGAGACTGAAGCGTCCCGTCTTCAGTCCTAAAAGCTCCCAGAAGTCACTGCTGTCTCCCGTCAAACATTTAGGTACAAAAAAGGAGAAATAAACCAAAGCTCTGTCTTTCACCAGCACGTCCACTGCGTCTACATGTTGGTCACACCTAAATAAAAACAGTTTGTTGAGACTGACTCGGTCAGAATGTGGTTTAAAAACATTGTGACAAAGGCCACGAGAGAAAGTTTCATCAAGACAAAACTCCCTATAAACGTCATGAGAACTGGGATGGGGGGCGAAACCCGACTGCAACACGGGACCAATCAGCTCCCGGGACTGAAATGGACAAGATGGCTCGAAAACAAGACTTCTTTTATCTGGACCCTCACAGCAGCTCGGCCCCCGACCGTCAGTCAAATCACAACCACAGGACTCATCAGTCTTTACAGTCTCTGCTCAGTCACTGCAGCTCTGGGGGGCTTCCACGTTCCAGAACCTGGACTTTACAGGGCAACATGCAGGAGGGAGTAAGGCAGGTGTAGTGAATCATGTCTGTCTACAGTCCATGTCTGCCTGTCAGTCAGTCTGTGGGGGGGCAGTTCTACAACCAGGGCCTCATGGGAACGTCCGTGAAGGAAGCCTCAGCGCAGGAAAGTTTATAAAGACGTGAGCGTCGGGAGTGTGTGTCCTCCATTTTCAGTCTGTGTGTGTGTGTGTGTGTGTGTGTGTGTGTGTGGCGTCCATTTTGTGTCTCCTGCTTTGTGTACATGTTCTGTCATGCAGGACCTGGACTCTAAGCACCCTGTCCTTCACACACACTACAGCCACACATGGAAAATGAGGAAGAGGAGGGTAAGCAGTAGGAAGAGCTAAGTTTTGGCACCTCCAGAAACCTTGGCATGTGACTGCCCCCCCACCTCCCTCCCACCTCCCCACGTCTCGCCCAACCACCCCCTCCCTCCTCCCTTAGCTTATATGAAGGGGCCGCCGGGCATACCCAGGAAGTTGGGCGCACCCATGGCCATGGGAGGGGGCGCCGTCGAGCTGCTCCAGTGCACCTTCATGTGGTGCCTCAGGTTGGACTTGGACGAGAAGCGTTTGTCGCACTGCTGGCAGGAGAACGGCTTCTCCTTGGTGTGGATGCGGCGGTGGCAGATGAGCTGTGTGGACACCCGGAAGGACTTGCCGCAGTCGGGGCACTGGTAGCGTTTGGGCTCGGTGTGGATCCGTCTGTGGTTCTTGAGGGACATCAGGTTGGGGAACTCCTTCTGGCAGGAGTTGCAGAAGTAGGTCCCGGTCTTGTGGCTGTTCTTGTGGTTGAGCAGGGAGCTGGCGTGCCGATAAGACCGACCACACTGGTCGCAGACATGGGACTTTATGACCTCACTGTTGCCCCCACGGCTGCGGGCTTTGGTCATGCTGCCGGGGTCGAGTCCTTGCTCTTGCATCAAAGTGAGGTCCAAGCCTGACCCCCAGCCCAGCTCCTGGGAGCCCCCCGGTCGAGGCTGCTGGGGTCTGGGCTGGCGGGGCTGCGGAGCCTGGCCGTGGGTGATCTCCATGTGGAGCCTGAAGCTGGCATGCGTAGGAAAGGCTCGTTGGCAAGACCGGCAGGTCAGCTCCCGCTGCTTCTGGTGGACGCGTCTGTGGTTGTAGAGCTGGGAGGAAACACGGAAGGCCTTGCCGCAGTCGTGGCAACGGTGGCGCCGTGTCTCGGAGTGGATACGGCGGTGGTTCTTCAGGGCAAGCAGGTTGGAGTAGGTCTTGAGGCACACGGCGCAGTGGTAGATGCCGACAGTGTGGGTGTTCTTGTGGTTAAGGAGGGAGCTGGCATGGCGGTAGGAGCGGCCACACTGATCACATCTGTGCAGAGACAAAGAAGGAAAAACAAGGGGGGAGGAAGAAGGGGATGGGAGGAGGGACAGAAAGAAAGAAAAAGGGAGATTAGTAACGGAAGATGGTAGTTTGTTTCCACCGTTCTAGTTAATCTCAGTTACTGGTTACCACTTTTCCTATAGAATTATTCAAATATTTTAACTACTCATCATCTAAGATGTTGCACATACAGGTATATGATCTGAAATCCGGCTTAATGCTTTTAAAAGAAGACTACTACAAAGTGGTGTACCATTTACAGTTATGATCTCTAGACAGGTCATGGGGAGAGGACTGCTGGGTGGGGGAGGGAGGGACATGGGAGAAACTATGGACAAACAACTGGGATTCATGTAGGGAACTGGGAGGTATCTGCCGCTCCCTGCACTGCACAAATGGACACAAGCTTCAAAGACCTTCTATCGCAGCCTTCTTTAGGGTGAGTTCTGAATGTAATGATGAAAAATCCATCAAACATGCCCAAAGTACCTCTACCAGTCGGCTACTGTGCTGTAGTAAAGAGTCCTTTAACTGTTAGGAATAATAACCTCTAGACATGTGCAGTGCAGCTTGCTCCAAATACTTCCTAATCTTCCCTGTGATTTCAGTTTGCCAAGACATCAAAATGCAAGAGCCCCATCACATAACGGCATTTTCTAGTCTAATTACTGGCCAGTATCATGATGCTAACTAAAGAAAACAAACACAAACAAAGACTACAATCAAAATCATAACAAGAGCAAGGAACACACAACATCAATACTTTAAATTTAGCTAATATGCTATATACAAAATACTACGTAAATCAAATCTGTGTCAAAGTTTGCTGAGAAAACAAAGCATTAAAACAATACATCTAAACATCAAATGTTTGACTGTGGGTGCCTGGAAAACTAAAGTGTGTGATATATGCTAACTGAAAGCAAACAGGGTTGACTTATCTGGTCTCTCCACTAATTCAATTTGTCCAAACTTCAGAAAAATCCGAATTCCGGCACGCGTATGGTCCCAAGGAAGCCGGATTGGAGATCATATACCTGTAATAGACATGTAGAGACCTAAATTTATCTTCACTATTTTTTTTTCAACTTCGAAGAATCACAAACAACTGACGAGAACTCACGTGTACCGACACTCTTCGCCCTCTCCCGTGGGTGCAGTGGCCTTCCTCCTGACTTCCATGCCTACCTGGTTGTCCCCGCAGCGGTGCCTGGCCAGACCGGACCTTCCCTGGAAACTCTTCCCACAGGTGGGGCAGCCGAACGGGGTAGCACCCTCCTCATGGACCTTCTGGTGGTTGCGGAGGAACCTGGCCAGCCGGAAGGCTTTCCCACACGTGTGGCAGATGTGCTTCTTCCGCTGCGTGTGGATGCGCATGTGGTTGCGTAACGCCATGTAGTTGGTGTAGGGTTTGTCGCAGAAGTTGCACCGGAAGTTTCCCGTCTTGTGAGTGTGCTTGTGGTTCAACAAGGAGCTTGCATGTTTGTAGGCGCAGCTGCAGAGGTCACAGGCGTAGGGTCTCTCGTCAGAGTCCAGGTCCACAGAGCTTCTCTCCATGCTGATGTTGGTGGAGCTGTTGGTGGAGGAGGATGAAGGCAGGTGCTGGGCTGGGCAGTCATGGGCTGCGAGCTCGTCAGCCGTGGCAAAGCCTTCACAGCAGCCATCGCACTCAAAATCCATTTGGGCCCCGGGACCCTGCGGGCCTTTGCACAGGCCAGCTGTAGTGTGGGTCGCTAGCTGCCTCTGGGTGCGGAAGCCCTTGCCGCACTCTTGGCAGTTGTGCTTCTTCTGGGCAAAGTGGAGACGCAGGTGGTTTTTCATTGCCAGCCTGTTGGGGTATGTAGAGTTGCAAACATTGCAGTGGTACTCCCCAATTTTGTGAAGGTTCTTGTGATTGGCCAGGCTGCCTGCATGGCGGTATGTCTTTCCACATTCTTCACAGGAAAAGGGCCGCCGTCCAGTTTCAGCTGGGTCAAACTTCTGGGGCCTGGATGTTCCAGCTGAAGAGTAGGGCTTTTTGAACCCTTGATGGCTGTATTTCACGCCCATTCCCTTTGATGACTCTCCTCTCTGCATAGTTTGCATTTGAGATGGGCCAGGTTGCTGGAAGCGGGAACCGTTAGGGCCGGTCCGAACAAGACCTTTGGCCCGGTGCTCCTCGTGGAGGCGGAGGTGGTTGATCAGCTGCTTTTGGATCTTGAAGGCCTTGCCACATTCTTCACACTTGTGCCTGCAGCATGAATGGACACAAATGAGGAAAACACAGTAGAATTTCTGTAAATACGTGAGATTAATAAAATTTAACCCATATCAAGGCATTGGTGGTACTACACACAACCCTTTGTGGAGGCTATAATCTTATGCATTAAGGCCCAGATGTCAAATTCCTTATAAGGTTGGCAGTCCTGGCACAGTGTTACAATGATCAACTGAAGTACAACCAGTTTGGCAACAAATTTAATTGCTGGGACAGAAATAAATCCTATCTAGTAAGTAATCAGCCTCCACATTGGGCTGAAAAATCACTAATCAACAGTAGTTTGGAACCTTGATTGTGATGAAATAGTTAAATCAAAAATGGACAGACAGGGACCTACCTCTTTAGATCAAAGTGGGTCCTTTGGTGATTCTTGAGAGCCAGCAGATTGTAGTAGCGTTTCTGGCACACCAAGCAGCGGAAAACACCAGTCTTATGGGACTTCTTGTGGTTGAGAAGTGAGCAGGGGTGCCTGTATCCTCGTCCACATTGATCACACTTGTGGGGCTTGTCACTTTGGTCAACAATAGGTCTACGTCCATCGCCACCTACGTCACGGCTTCCTCCGGCGACCCCACCACCGACGCCATCTCCTCCAGACATCCCTTTGGCTCCATTCAGACCCTGCTTGCTCAGTGAGCCAGCCCGATTCTTACCGGGGCACAGGTGGGTGATCAGGTGGTGGCGGTCAGCAAAAAACATGCCACAATCGACACAAATGTGGTTGCGTCCATCCATCTTGTCATTGCCATTAGCTGAAGTTGCGCCAATACCCTGTTGCTGGCCGTCTGGCCTTTGGGGGCCATGGACTAACTGGTGATTCAGGAGGTCCTGTTTCCTAGAGAAGCTCTGGCCACAGGTGGAGCAGATCATCCTCCACTCGTGCTCCAGACTGGAAGGTCCTGGCCCTGTTGGGTTATTGGCATGGCTACGCAAGTGGCTCCTGAGAGCTCTGAGGCTGGCGTAGTGATTGCCGCACACCGAGCACTGATACACTTCTCCATCATCCTCGTCATCTTTGTCATTGCTGCCCATTCTCTTGCCTCCGCTCTGGGAGTATTGCCGTTGGCTGCTGCCTACTTTGAGGCTGCTGGAGCTTCCAGCTGGCAGCGAGGTCCCACTGGAGCTGTGGTAGTTCATGTTCCCCATAAAACCGTTGGACATGTTGCCCTGCGGCTGTTGTGGCTGCTGTTGCTGCTGGCCACGGCGGGGACACATGTGTGACTTGATGCCAGATACATCTCCATACATCTCACCGCAGTCTGCACACACGTGTCTGTCGGCCTGACGGTGAGCAGAGTTGCTCTGAGAAAGTGAGCTGCCGTCAAAGCGATCGTGGAACTCGAGAGAGTCCAACCCACTGCTGTGGCCACCATCCGGTACAAAGTGGGCAGCGTCTCCAAGATTTCCTGGCAGTGAGATTGGAGTGGTGGCACCACTGCCTTCCTGGACGTAGCTCTGCTGGGAGTCCAGAGTTAGCGGCTCTGGAGATAGCCAGTCGTTGCTGTCGTTACCGATGGGCTGGTTGGAGGGACGCCCTTTGTGGCTTCGTAGGTGGCTGTGTAACGCTGCCAGGTGAGGGTACTGCTTACAACAGATGGTGCACTGGTAGTGGCCAGTCTGATGGCAGCGTTTGTGGTTCACCAGACTCCCTGCATGCCTGTAACTTTTGCCGCACTCCCCGCACTTAAAGCGACGCTCTCCGTCATCTGGAGAATTGGCCTGAGGCACGCGGCCACCAGAGGGAGAAGACACAGAGCCCTGTGATCCAGAGCTTAGTGTGTCTGAGTTGAGGATGGAGCTGTCCTGGCCATGGGAGGCAGGGTGGGGGTCATGGGTCAGATAGTGGACTTTCAAGGTATCCAGATCTGGGTGACCCGCGCCACAGTATGCACATGTGTAAATGGGATTGTTGACTGGAGGGCCCATTATGGGGTCATAGGGACCTCTTTTCTCACTTGGCAGGGGTGGCAGGGGCAGAGGGTCCCCCAGGGCAGGAGTGTACGCTGGGGATCGCACCGCACTCAGATTGTGAGGCATGATGCCTGGGAAACTGCGCGGCAGTCCAAGGGAGGGTGAGGCCGTGTTGTGCAGCAGGATGTGCTCCTGGAAGTCTGTCTTATTCGGCAGCGCTATCTGGCAGAGGTGGCAGAAGCAAGAGGCCGTGTCGTCGCTCTGGGACGACTGTGTGCCACTGCTGCGCTCCGAGTCGTGGAGGCTGCTGCTGCTACTGCTGCTGCTCACCATGGATGCCCCGGGGGTCTTGAACTTCGAGTGAGTTCTCTCGTGGCTGTTTAAGGCAGCCAGGTTGCTAAATTGTTTAAAACACACAGAGCACTTAAAAGTTCCTTGCTGGTGACACTTCTTGTGGTTCACCAGGCTACCGTGGTGCCGGTAGGTTCGGTCACACTGATCACACTTGAACGGTCTGTCCCAAGCGTCGTCGGACTCAGGGGAGCCTTTTTTTCCGTGGTCGTCTGTCTCGTGGCTTTGTAGGACACTATGTCCCATACCACTATTGTTCAAATGGGAGCGGCCAAACCCGTCCGAGAGGTCTTGGGCGAGACCGTAGTCCCTCTCGTCGTGGCCGGCTTCTTCGGGTACTTCTTCGCTCTCTTCTTCTGTGTGTGCACTACTAGGGGACAATGTATGGATACGGAGGTGGTTCTTTAAAGCTACCGCGTTGGGTAGGGTGCGTGTACAAACAGGACACTGGAATGAACCTACTTCGTGAGACTTTTTATGATTAGCTAGACTAGCTGCGTGCTTGTAAATTCGGCCACACTGTTCACACTCAAAACGTCCGTTCTCTTCTTGCTGATAATGTGCTTTCATATGCTCTAGAAGACTTGGAGTACTCGGGCAAACCATATCACACTCTTTACAGGGGAAACCCTTGGCACGACTCATATCATGCATTGCCATAGTACTCTAAAGCAAATAAGTTGGCGGGAATCACAGTTCACAACACAGCAATGAACAGTGATGTTAGGGAGGTGGAGGAGGAAACAGCGGGGCTTAGCTCTTCAGCTGGGGGGCGGCGCTGGCAGCCATTTTCTCCCCAAGAGCCAATAGTGGAGGTCCAGCCAATCGGGGCCCACCCTGGGAGGTGGCGGGCCTGCGGGGGTCACACCAGCCAATGAGGTATCACTGTGGAGACAAAAAGAAGAGAAAGAAGGAGGGTTACTTATAAAGCAACAACCATTTCATCTTCAAGTAAAGGAGTTAGCTGCTTATGAAACTAGTCTCAGTTCATACTGATGCCTGTATATGACCCACATGAACCTATGTCTATATAGTTATTCTTATCCCCTTGAAATCAATGAGACAAGACGGTAGAAACACTACCGCTTTTGTCCACAGGGGCAGAATCAACAGTAAATGAAAGTTCCTCTTTGCTGCTTCAAATTAAGTTAAACTCTCCATTTGACGAAGATGAAAGATTATTCAACAATTGTGATAAATGCTCTCAAATACTAACATCAGTTTAATGTTAGTTAACAGTTAAATGTTTTTGCCAAGAAAAGGAAATAAAATTGTAAATGACAAATAATCATTGTAGTTATTGATTAATTTGATCATTCTGAGTCTAAAGTCTCGGACAACAACAGCCAAAATATTCTGTTTACTGAGACATGAAACAGAAGAGAGCAGGAAACTGTGAGTATTTGGCATTTTTCTTTAAGTGACTATAAGAATAGCTGCAAATAAATGATCTGTCCATCAACTAATTATTTATAATCGGCCGTATATTAATCAAAGCTTCAGAGTCATCTCGTTTTAAAGCAGCAGATGTGAATCCTGAAGCCAGCGGGCCATAGCTCCACTCCCTGCCCCATTCACAGCTGACTGACAGCAGCATGAAGGACACACCTTTGTTGACAGTGTAAAGAGGCCGAAGCACACAGTGAATTCTCCACAGGATCAACAAACCCTCCCACCGGCCTCCACCAACAGTCAGCTACAGCAGCAGCATCCACACTCAGGTTATCCACAGTGATACAGCTGCTAGCAGACAACAGCAGGACCACACAGAACAAGTGTCTGCTGCTAACTGCTGATTTTGTGCATATTTTATACCTAAAATAAACTGCAGGCGTCAGCTGATTATCTCAAAATTACACAGAATTAACTTGAACCAATCATAATGAACAATTAATCGGTCTATCTATAGGCTGGGCAGGTGGAAGTAAAAGCTTCATGCTTCTAAAAACCCACAAAATGATCAACTTCAACCAAATCTGAAACACTTCAGCCTAACCCTAACCCATCAGCAATTCAACAAAAACTGATGGTTTCAGTCACTTTACGATCAGAAAGGTGCTGCACTGAGGCTGCTGATGGTCTAATATTGACTCTCTACTGTTTGTTCCTGACATCATGTGACGCTCTGACGGAGGACGACGCACCTGCCTGCCCCCCGCCCCCCCCACCTGAACCACAGCGTCCTCTACAGGACTCTTTACTCAGCTTCTATCTGCTGACAGCCTCTTTGTATCAGAAACTAACAGCTTTCTGACCAGATCAATGAATATTATTAGGGATGAACAATAATAATCATCTGATAATCATTATTTATTATATTATTTAAATTACAGCCAATACATGAAGGGTCCATAATAATCATTTACTATGCAAAATGATCGATAGACTAAATTCTATAAAAGCAAAAGTATGTTTGAAAAAATAAATGAACATTTGAATAGTTTGTTGTTGTTGTAAACAATAGTGTTTGTTTGTTTGTTTTTTCTCAGCCTCTCACACTTATAAACTCACTGCATAAACTACAGGTTATAAAATACCAAAATGTGAAATTATCAGTTATCTCATTGGCTGATTATTATTCACATCACCATATATTTGTTCCTGTACAACATAAAGCATAAAATTATAATTATTATAATAATAACTGATTAATTATCATTTCTCTATTAAGTCACATTCATTCATGGTTAACCCGGTCGGTCTCATAGTAAATATTACTATATAGAGCCCACACACACACACACACACACACACACACACACACACACAGGTCAGTAATCAGATCAATAGTTCGTTAAGGATCAGGTGATTAAAGTGAGTCGATGTCTGACAGTTTTAACGGGCTAATCTGTAATAGATTACAGCAGGCGGCCATGTTAATCTGCTCTGCCAACACACACACCCCCCCACCGACACACACACACACACACACACACACACACACACACACACAGCGTTATATCGATATATAAATATGTGAAGAATCATAACATCGATCAGGCCCAAAGACATTTCACTTAGGATTTTATTATTTAATATAGAAAATAAAGGATGAATAAAATAGATGTTTGTCTTCAATCTCATGTTGTTCTATAATATATAGATATAAAGACACCTGCCCTCAGTGTAACCACTGATACAGTGTGAATACGAGCTGATTGCTGGAGTTCATTCATTAGGGGCAGAAGACGAGGACACGACGAGACGACGAGGTCGCTAAAAGAGCTCCGGTCGAAGGTCAAAGGAAGGAAATCACATTCCTGTTGTCTTGTGTATTAACACAAGGAAGGTTACAGATTTTATTTGACCTTTTATGCACAAATTATATGAATAAAATCAGCTGACAACCTTTATGATCTTAAACTCTACGGGTGTAAATGTCTGATAAATTGCATTAATATTCTCCTACACAGTATTATTGTTTGTGTGTTAACAAGACATGCTAGCTGATGGCGGAAACTCTTTGATTAGCGCCCTTGGAGAGCGGAGGTATGAAAAAATGTGGAGTGTGTTTTATTATCAGATAGGATTTTGTTTAAGGAAAGAGAGAATGTCATTACTTCATTTGTTTATGAGTTAATTGCACATGTCATCTGGATAAAAGCAATATACAATTATAATATGTTGTATTTCATTTAAAAGAAGCATGTGATACATTTGTCTTAATAGTTTAAAAACATAATTCATTTCATTTTTCATTATTACTTCAAATGATTTGTATTGGGTGTAAACATGATTAATATGTGAACATGATTTATGTGCGAATTATTTGTGGAAGTACAGAGAAGCATTTAGTATTTCTTCTGTTTTATTCTGTAGTTTTCGCGGTGTTCACGGTGTTCGCGGTGTTCACGGTGTTCGCGGTGTTCACGGTGTTCACGGTGTTCACGGTGCTTATGGTGCATGGTGCTCGTTGAGAGGAAGAAATAAATCAATACCCGTTTGAAACTCTCTGCGTCTTGAGCCATAAATCCAAGGGGCCGCTACAACGGGAACTCTAATCACAAACAATCACAGTTATGGAATATAAACCTCATTACCATAAAAACTACCTGCTATCAACTTCTTTATAAAATATAAAGGTGTGATACTTAGAGGTGTGAATTGTCACTGATCTCCCATTTCGATTATCATGTCAGCGATTCGATTCGATTCCTCGATGCATCACGATGCGTCAAATACATTTTCTATTAAAGCCATATAGGATATTTGACCTGATGGAATAAATTAAGATACTGTATAATTCAATATAATACAGTTTTCTATATTACTTCATATGGTTGTTTTCATCCAAAAATACAAGTAGTAAAATATAAACAATCTTTTTTATTTAACAGTCTGAACACAGCAGACAGCATGCACACACACACACACACACCCACACACACACACACACACACACACACCATAGGTTTTTCATAGCTTTTTAAACATTCTGCAGTGCTCTAATTCTAAATACATTGGATACATAAAACTACAGCACTGAGAACATGGCACTTCCTGAATGTGCAAAACATAACAACCAGTCATATACATACACACGTCTATATCTATACATCTATATATAAATCTCTCTATATATCTATATATAAATATATAAATATCTATATATCTATATCTATATATCATATATAAATATCTATATCTATCTATAAATATATATATATGTCTATATCTATATATGATATATAAATATCTATATCTATAAATATCTATATATAAATATCTCTATATATATCTATATTTATATATAAATATCTATATGTGCGTTCCTAGAGGTTAGTGCTGCTTCTGGTGTTTAAAGGGTTAAAGAGAGAAGAAATAATGCAAATAGAGCTCAAAAACAGAGAGAAAGAAAGAAGGCATGACGTTAAAGGTGGAGAAAAACAAACCAGAGAAGCTGAGATGGAGGGAGGGAGCAGTGGGGGAGCCGTGGGGGAGAGGAGGGGAGCCGTGAGGGAGCCGTGGGGGGAGGGGTGGTAGCCTGTTAGGGGTTTGGAGCGACGGATGAAGAAAGAAAAAAAAAACGAAGGAAAGCGTTGGAAAATAAAGGTGTGGAGCAGGAAAATGGTGGAGGGGAGAGGGGGTGAAGAGGAGGGGGGGGGGCACACACACAGTGACGAGTTGTGGTCTGACAGGTAGGAGAGCAGAGAGGAAAATAACACACACACACACACACAGACACACACACACACACACACACACACACACAGACACAGACACACACACAGACACACACACACACACAGACACACACACACACACAGACACACACACACACACAGACACAGACACACACACACACACACACACACACACACACACACACACAGACACAGACACACACACACACACACACACACACACACACATTAAATAACATGTACCATGAATTAATAATAATACTACAAAATAAAAGCATTTGCTGGTTGAGCAGGTTGGGAGTCTGCTGAGACTTCTGCCTCATTTATAATCCCACAGACCTGGTCCAACACAGACCTGGTCCAACACAGACCTGGTCCAACACAGACCTGGTCCAACACAGACCTGGTCCAGCCTTTATCATCACATTCAGATTCATGTAAATGCAGCTGTGGATATATATATATATATATATTTACACAGGATTATTTAATGTTTGCTACAGAGACTAACTGTTGGTTTGTGTCCATCAAACACCAGATTATGTTGGAAATTCTGTGTATTCTTGAAAACAAGAATGAAACATTTTCCAGATGTTCTTTGTAGGAACTGATCAGCAGTCAGCTGATGGATGGAGCAGCAGGAGGTTATTCTTTACACCACAATGTGGATTACTATCTCAACCTGAGGCTCGGGACCCCCACAGTGGTCTCCAAAACCTAAAAATGGGGCCATCTTGACTTTAAGGCGAACTAGAAAACTTAAATAGTTGAGATTAGACTGTAAAACCAGTTAATTTAACTAAACTGATGACATTCAAACTAACTCAGTTATAAAACCATTGTTCATCAGGTAGCTTTAGTGATCTGAAGTAACTCTGGCTTCATTTTCTAATCTTTATTTGTATTGTACAAACTAATAAAAGCTCCTTAACAACGTTTCTACTAATTAAAATTGAGTTTGTGTAATTTCAAGTTTAATTTATGTAACTTATAGCATTACTGTGTATTATTTAATATCTGAATACAAGCTGTAGCAGAAACATCAGGCAGAAGAAAACAACCCTAACCCTGGTCCAGAAAGAAGCAAATTAAGTTGTTCTGATTGTTATTGATATAGGAAATAATCAGTTATTGTTCACTGTTTATCAGCTGTTCTGTGTTGAATACAGTCAGTGAAAAAGGTTGGAACCTCTGGATTAGAGCATCACAATATATTGATCCATGATACGTATTAATACCACCAACACACAGCCGGTGTTAATGCTGTCTATAATGGAGCCAAGAGCTGCACGATAACCGACAATCAGCTGCATCTCCTGATCAATGATCATTGTCGTGTTTTAAAGAGTTTAAAACACACAGCTCTGATCCAAACACATCTAACTGATCCTTATAAATGTATCGGCTGCATCCCATTCCGAGGCTCTGAAGTGTCCTGAGACAACTGGTTAGAATTCTACACAAACACATTAAACCTCAATGGTTTCTTCCTCCAACAGAAGTCAAGGTCTGGATCTACCGGAGTCACATCTGAGTGTAACAGACTGAAACAACAGGAAGGCTTCAGTGGAGCAGAAAGACCACACACACACACACACCCACACACACACACACACACACAGTGCCCTTACACCTGTTCAAGGACACACCTGTAACAGGGAAATGCAGCCAATGCAGCACACAGTGCAAACACAGTCAGTCAGGACGCACTGGAGATCAGACCACCTCACTCTCAAGACCAGGACCCAGAGGCCCAAACCGGCCCGGATAGGGGACCGGACCCACATTACATAACTGAAAGGGTTAAAAGAACAACACATCCCATCTTATCCAGAGTCAGATAACAAGATATCAGTCCACCTCCTCCAGAACTCATACAGCTCTCCTTAAGGGACCTGGAACCTCTTCAAGGGACCTGGAACCTCCTCAAGGGACCTGGAACCTCCTCATATATTCCCAAACGGAAACACTGAACTTCACTTTTACATTTACTGGATCACAGATTCTCGTCTCCCTCTTCTGTATGTCAGAATTTAAATTTATATTATATAAAGCAGGAAATCAATATATGGCTGTGTGCTGCTGAGCTAGAGAGCTTTTTCAAGTCAAGCCACATGAAGATATTCCCAATAATCCTGATAATGCCCGTCAATTCCCGACAGGTAGGTGGTCAGTATGTGAGCTTGTCCTCCTGTAATCTGATTACAGTTTTCCTCATTAATGTCGTATACATCAGCTAAAACTCAATAAGAATTTTCCAGGACAACATAGATTATCTCCAGGATATTCTAAACCATTTCCAGGTGTTTCCATGACTGGAAAACTCATCTGTAAATATCCAGGTTCTCCAGGACTTATTATTGGAATATCAGGAAAACTCATCTCGTACGTTATATTCAAATTATCTGCTCAAAATTCATCCAAATCAAAAGTTTTATTTAAACTTACTGAGTTCATTCATGAATAATAAATCAGTTTACTCATCAGGAACCAGACACTTGTTAACAAACAACACATCAATCATTTCCAGGATATTTAATCAATTTCCAGGTGTTTCCATGACTGGAAACCAGCCCCTAAATATCCAGGTATTCCAGGACACGCAGACGCAATAAGATCAGTGGGAATGACCTAATAAAGTCCTGATGCTGTGACATTAATCACTAACAGTTTATTATAATGTTTGTTTGTGCAGCTTTAATTCTATTTACAGTTACTACAGTTTACTACAGTCCTCATTAACAGTGGGGGGCTGTTACAATGCTGCACTACACACATTATTTATCATTTTAATCCATTTCCAGGTGTTTCTATACCAGGACAACCAGTGTGTAAGTGTTCATTTTCACATTATTCTCATTCATCCTCTCATCAGCAGCCAATCACAAACACTTTCTGCCTGTTTTCTTCCAACTGCACATAATGTAAACAAACTGATTCTTGGCTCCAGAAAATCCCGCCAGCCTCATTAAAGCTGCACTTTATCCCTCAATGCATCTGAGAGTGTGAGGTATCAGGGATCACCGGGTCTGTTCTGCCCGCCAACCGCCTCCAACTCTGCATTAAACTCCATATCTGCAAACTAATATGCACATAATCAGATCAGAAATACCCCCCCACCGCCGCAGCGGGGCTCCCTGACCTTGGCCCGTCTCCTCTCGGTCGGGTTCAGCCTCAGCGGGAATTTTATCCGGACAAAAGCGGAGCGATTCACCGCCGACATTTCCTCCGGCCGACTCCCCAATTTAACCCGGGGAGCGACACCCGAGCCCGGCCGGCAGACGGAGGGCAACACGGGGGTTAGTTCCCCGTAGAAAACGGTGTTATTAGCCGACATGATGCTACCAGCAGAGCGGGGACAACACCTACAGCCATCAGCCCACTTTCACTGAGACCCCATCTCCATCGGAAAATGGCTTTCGAGCAGCGAGCCATTTTCCCCCATGCTAACACGCTAACACGCTAGCCTCGCTTTTTTAGCCCCCAATAAACAGTCGCTAGCTAGCATTGTGGCTACAACCGCACGCCGAGGATGCGTTAATACGGTGTAAACAGGATGTAAACAGGACGCACAACACCGCACAAACAACCAGCGACATTTTTTAGAGCTTTAATTCAAATTAAAACGATCACATAAGCGGGGGAAATACACGGCGATGCTACCGTTAGCGTTAGCGCCTGGCTAAGCTAGCAGCCCCCCGCGATGAGAACGGGGGTAAAACGGAAGTTCAACACAACAAAATGGTAAACAAAACCGACAAACAACACAAACACGAGTGAATGCGAGTTACTAACAACATGAGCCGTATTTTCCCGGTGAGTTCATCCCGGTTGCACTGACTGGAAGCAGCTCGTTAGCATTAGCCAGCTAACCCCGGGCTAGCCCGCAGCTACACAAAGATCTCGACAAACACTTCGCGGCCGCGACCGACGAAAACCTCGTTTTTGATCCGTTTCCCGCTCCACACTTACCCCTCAGCGGCCTCTGCCTCCGCACGGTCAACGATGCACGGCGTGGAGATACAGAATCTGCAACTTTCACGGATTAGGCATGGTTATTTTTTTCCTCCTCTATTCAACCACCGACTTTTGGTTCTTGGCTCTTTCCCCCCCCCTCTCTACCGCCGCTCTGCCGCCGCTCTACCGCCGCCGCATCGACAGCATACTTCCTGCCGCTGCCGCTGCTCGCCGCGCGGTGCGCTGCCGCTACCGCCGCTACCGCCGCTGTTCGCCCCGACGCGTCATCATGCGCAGAATAAAGCCAGCAACAGAAACATCCAGTTTGATCCTCCTCTCACTTTATGACCCTCACAGCTCGTCCTCTGTGCACTTTGGAGCAGATTTGAGGCAAACAAGCAGGCGCCGAGAATAGCCGGGCCGAGTCCAGTCGAACCGAACCGAGCCGAACCGAACCGAACCGAACCGGGCTGCTGCTGCTGCTGCTTTATGGGGCAAATGACACTCTGAGGTCATTGTATCAGACACACATATGGACGTCCTGCGATTCTGTTTCACTGTACAAACATTACAAGGCCGCAGTAATATATTACTTTACTCTGCCAACAGTAATTAGTTACACTGCTGTTTATATTCAGTGCTTGAAGAACATCTCTTATGCCCCAATTTATTATATATATATTATTATATATATATTATTATTATTATTATTATTATTATATATATTATTATTATTGGACCATCCAGCGAAGGATAAACTGCTTAATATTCTGTCACAGCAGCTCCAGACACAAACAGATCAGAACAATGCTCATAAAAAAACAAAAACAAGATATAATAAAAATAGGATAAGAGTCATATGTAATGTAATATATGATATATAATTATATGTAGCTCACCATAACATTGGCTATTGTCACTGAACCTCTGCTGCTGGAGTTCAGGATCATTAACAGGAGAGACATACAGGCAATTATACACAATATATTATTTCTATTACTTCATCCACTCATGAACATCAGATAATTATTATATCATGCCTTCGCCATCCTAGGTAAACAACAATGAGCGTCAGAGGGGATTTAAATACTGAGAAATACATAAGTTTATAAATTACTAACTGTGTTTCTTTCTCCTTAAAATTCAGAGTGACGACGATTAAAATCCAGTTTACTTTGTAAAAATGAAAGTAATGGAGTGTTTCCAAACCAGTTTCCTCCCGATTACAACAATGAATCCAACGATGGGATTGATTGTTGATTTCAGATCAGTGGGAGACAACAACAGTAATGTAACTGATTACTTTTATTAGGGGGTAACTAATATTATTGCTGATATTTATTAGTAATGAGTTACACTATAGGTTTTTCCCGATTATACAATAAACACTGTAAAATAATTGCCTAAAAATAATCTGATTTGGATTTTAAAGCTGCAGTAGGTTACTTTTATGAAAAGAACTTTCTCTCTATCTGGACAGAACATGAGACAGATAATCTGTGATAATCTGGCTCCTGCTGGTGCTTCCTAACGGCCTTCATAAGAATCCACCGGGCCTGAACGAAAGCAACCAATCAGAGCCGAGAAAGATATAAAGACTCTTTGGAGATAGTTGAGTCTCGTTCTCATTAGCTGGGCCCTTTCTTCAGTCCGGTTCTGTTACTGTGTGACTTTGTTAACGTGTTGGTTTGGATCTGAACTGTTCGAGGCGGTTGAGCAGAAACGTCGTCGTTCTGTCAGGTAACAGTGGAGTCTGGTTCAGTGCTGGTCCTCCTGTCTGCTTCCTCACCGACCGCCGCCTGCTGTATCTGATCACATTCACTGTATCACCAACGGCAACACATTATATCACACATATATCACAAGTAAATGTTAAGAAAAGGCCATTATTGATTGATTGATTGATTGATTCTACAAGTAGAATGTGAAAATATAAGAAATGAAACAAAGAACTACAATTTAAACAAATAAAATAGACATTATATAATATTTACATGTTTAAACACACTCCCCATGGCCACCGCACATCCTTTAGTTAGCGCCATGAAATTAACGATGAATTAACGTTCAGCTGTGTATTGTCGTTCCGCCATTTTGAAAAACTATAATCACCGAGAGGGACATAAAGCACTAGCCTACCTGTCTCGCTAATCCACAGCGCGTTCTCGTTCAGAGCCAGCGTCACGTGACTGAAACCAGCTATAACGGAGAAGGAGATCAGTGAGAGGCACATTTGAAAGTCTGCACTGCCCTTTAGTTCATAATGGAGGATCAAACTTATGCCGAGCCACAGGAGAAGGAAACCTCGTCACCAACAAAGCCAAAAGGGAATTAAAAAGGCAACGTGAGCGGCGAACTCAAAAAACAAGGGTAAACATCGGGGTAGCTTTTCCCAGGTGCGCTGACTGCTTTCTCCTCCACAGGAAGGCTTCTTGGTACATAACAGCTACCGTAGTTGCAATACGCATTTGAAAACGCGAGGCACTAGAGAGCACTATTCGTTTGAATGCAAATACAATTTCACCTGCTAGATGGGAGAAATTCCTACACATTGTCCCTTTAAGTGGAGAGTCTAAATATTTATTTCCATTAAATTAAATATTCACAAATATTTTTTCAAAATGACTAAAAATCACCGGTTTTATCAACCTCACATAACAATATATAATCTATAGAATATGTTTATTTTACTTCATTTTGGAGCATATTTTGTTTTTATTAGGGTGAATCATTGAATAAAATAAATAATAAATCTTTACACATTAAACATTTTTATTAAAACTTAATGAATGAAAGAAAATAAAAACATCATCATACATTTAATATTCATAGACTGTTATTGTCTGTATGAATATTAAAGAGGGTTTTCAGCAGCTCATTGTAGGTACACACATGAAATCAATAAACGTATTGATCGGTGGAGCCTCCTGTGCTGATGTGAAGCAGTGAAGGTGAGTCAGTTTGTGAATTAATTAAAGAGAACAAATGATGACAGAATTAAAATAACAAAGCAAAGAATTTATGACAAACTTTATTTAAAAAAGAATAATCAAATGTTAATTTAAATAATTCTGAGGATTTTTTAATTCTGTATATGTTTCTGTAAAAAAAAATAAACAATCATATGTTGTGTTCATTGAGGTTTTAAATAACGTATTTATGTATTTTATTAATATTTAATCTTATATATTTTAAAATAATAAGGTTTATTTACAGCTTCCATAAATCAAAACATAAATAATAAAGATTTAATATTTTTCATTTTTATTTGTCACATTTCATTATTTATTTCTATATTTTTATTTAAAAAATGAATAAAAATGTACTCAACCCCCCCTTCACTGTGCACTTCATGTCCCAGAACCCCTTGCGTCAGTAACGACGTCATATTTCCTCGCCTGTGTTCAACTCTTTCTCTCGTCGCTCATCGATTATTGTGCTTTAATTTAGCGGCTTTGTGCTTCAGTGGCGGCAGTTTGAGAGGAGCAGCGGCAGGATGGGTCCCGTAGAGGTCAAACTTCATCTTTATATTTTATATTTATTGAAGAATATTAATATTAGACTGAAATCTGCTGTTAGCTTCAGGCTGTGTAGTTGGCTAACTCCCGTTAGCATCTGTGAAGGTACAACGGCTAACTTCCAACCATTGTTATTGTTGTTATTGTTGTTATTATTGTTAATGTTAATTATCCTTGTTTACTGTTTGTGTTCGCTTTCCTATGAAGAGAGAGCGCGCGGGACCAAAGTCCGTTCACAACTCTGCTAAATGTAACTTTTGTTGTTTATTAGTAAACAAATATCAGGTAGAATAACGAGTTGAAACACATATTCCTGTTAAACATGAAGCTCTGGTTGATTCGGCTGGAGGTTGGAGAAGTTATTAGGTTGTTAAAGTGACATTAATAAGATCTGAACCTGGGTCTGTGAGCCGGAGCTTGAATGAAAGACGAGCATGCGCACTGAGCCTAGTGCAGTCTCCGTTAGGAACCACCGAACAACGATCAACATATTAAACCAACAGATATATATTAATAGATCTATATATATATATATATATGTATATATATGGGTGTTGATGTACGAGTCACCATAAATTAAATAAACATAAAACATAAAAGTCATATATACAATATATTCAGTGGCCACTAGAGGTCGCACCAGACTCCATTCACAAAACCAGTGATTTTACCGAACACACTTCAAAGTACACAGAAACAGAAATAAAGCCAGCACTAGTGTCTCTGTCAGTCTTTATAGAGCGCTGCACCTTTTATAAGATTCACAGATAAACTGTATCAATATCTTAAATCCAACAGCTGGTTACAGTCGGAGGGAACCGTCACATCTGCTCAATGTGACTCTCTGTGTCTCTGACTCTCTGTGTCTCTGACTCTCTGTGTCTCTGTGTCTCTGTCTCTCTGTGTCTCTGACTCTCTGACTCTCTGTGTCTCTGTGTCTCTGACTCTCTGTGTCTCTGACTCTCTGTGTCTCTGACTCTCTGACTCTCTGTGTCTCTGACTCTCTGTGTCTCTGACTCTCTGTGACTCTGACTCTCTGTGTCTCTGTGTCTCTGTCTCTCTGTACTCTCTGACTCTTCTGACTCTCTTTCTCTGACTCTCTGTGTCTCTGACTCTCTGACTCTCTGACTCTCTGACTCTCTGTGTCTCTGACTCTCTGTGTTCTGACTCTCTGTGTCTCTGACTCTCTGTGTCTCTGACTCTCTCTGTGTCTCTGTCTCTGTTTTCTGACTTTCTCTGACTCTCTGTGTCTCTGACTCTCTGTGTCTCTGACTCTCTGTTCTCTGTGTCTCTGACTCTCTGTGTCTCTGACTCTCTGTGTCTCTGACTCTCTGTGTCTCTGACTCTCTGTGTCTCTGACTCTCTGTGTCTCTGACTCTCTGTGTCTCTGACTCTCTGTGTCTCTGTGTCTCTGACTCTCTGTGTCTCTCTGTGTCTCTGACTCTCTGTGTCTCTGACTCTCTGTGTCTCTGACTCTCTGTGCTCTCTGTGTCTCTGACTCTCTGTGTCTCTGACTCTCTGTGTCTCTGTGTCTCTGAGTCTCTGACTCTCTGACTCTCTGTGTCTCTGACTCTCTGTGTCTCTGACTCTCTGTGTCTCTGACTCTGACTCTCTGTGTCTCTGACTCTCTGTGTCTCTGACTCTCTGTGTCTCTGACTCTCTGTGTCTCTGTGTCCTGCAGCTCCTCCACATGTCGGTTTTCTCTCAGAGTTTTTCTCCCTGCGGTCGATTTCTGGCAGCAGGAAACAACTACGGAGAGATCGCCCTGTTCAGGTGAGAGACGGAGCTGGGTTGGATCAGTGTGACCATGTGCTATTAATAATCAATAATCAATAATCACTGTGTTTCAGCCTGTCTGCAGCTCTGAGTCCAGACGCCACTGCACAGAGTCAGAAACCTGTTCTCACATTCACAGGTGAGACGTTAGAAGAGCATTTAATTCATTATTTATTATATTAAAAACCACCATGTTATTATTTATTATTTCATTGTATCAATCATCAATCATTGTGTCTGAGCTCATAAAGACATCAGTGACGTGTGAATCTGTTGCTAGGAAACATCTGAAGCACCGTCCAATCAGAAGCAGTCTGCTGCGTAAACAGGAAGTCACTGTAGCATCACAAGCTAGCTTAGCTTCCAGAAACTCCAGTTTTAGAGTCTGAAAGATAAACCTGTGATCTGATTATGCTAAGCTAACTGACATTAGTAGCTTATTTTAGTGAGATGTGATTTAAAATCAATAATTATTAACAGAATTTATAAAGTTGACTGTATCACCTCGTTTAGCATGCTAACGTTAGCTCTGTTAGCTCTTTGTGAGCTGCAACCTGATGTTAGCACGAGGCTAACGTTGAGTTTCTCCTGTCCTTCAGCTCACGAGGGTCCCGTCTTCTCGCTCCTGTCCACCGACTGTCACCTCCTGAGTGCCGGAAACGGAGAGATCAGCGCCTGGAGCTGGACCGAGCTCATCAAGAAGGTGCCTGTCACTTTAAATCCTGTCCACAACAACTCCTCGCGCAGTTCACAACGAGAAAAACCCAGTGAATGTAGACCGAAGGATCTGTGACGACACATTGGCAGATAATCATCAGAAACAGAGTGAAGGCGTCTGTTAGTCTTTCCTCTGGTCCAGCACTGATCTTTAAACAGTTTGAAGCTTCACTCTGAACATTTGGTCTCATATTTGACTTTGTGTCTCCTCAGAATGTCAAACCCCTGTGGACAAAAAGACCCAACTACAAGTGAGAGACATTTACTTCTGTTTGCCGACTGTCTGTCTGTCCTGCTGTCGGGAGTCACTGAGGTCTTTGTTGTGGTCTCTGTCCTCAGATCCAGTCTGGAGATCCCGGAGATCAACTCAATGGTCATGAACCCCAGAGTGAGTCCGCACAACAGGAGAACCTGAAGCAGCTTTAAAATGAGTAAATTCTCTCTGGAGTTTGGTCCACTGTGAGGACGGAGGCTGAGTGACGCTCTCTGTGTTTCAGGATAACAGTCTTATAGTCGGTGGGGGAGACAACAACGTCCACGTCCTGGACCTGGAGCGCGGAGTCTTCAAGGTGCGTCAGTCAGGGGGTTGTTTGTGGTTCTGGTTTGTTTGTTTGTGGTTCTGGTTTGTTTGTTTGTGGTTTGTTTGTGGTTGTGGTTTGTTTGTGGTTGTGGTTTGTTTGTTTGTGATTCTGGTTTGTTTGTTTGTGGCTCTGGTTTGTTTGTTTGTGGTTCTGGTTTGTTTGTTTGTAGTTCTGGTTTGTTTGTGGTTTGTTTGTTTGTTTGTTAGTTCTGGTTTGTTTGTGGTTGTGGTTTGTTTGTTTGTTTGTTTGTAGTTCTGGTTTGTTTGTGGTTTGTTTGTTTGTTTGTTTGTAGTTCTGGTTTGTTTGTGGTTGTGGTTTGTTTGTTTGTTTGTAGTTCTGGTTTGTTTGTGGTTCTGGTTTGTTTGTTTGTGGTTCTGGTTTGTTTGTTGTTCTGGTTTGTTTGTGGTTCTGGTTTGTTTGTTTGTGGTTCTGGTTTGTTTGTTTGTGGTTCTGGTTTGTTTGTTCTGGTTTTTGTTTGTTTGTGTTCTGGTTTGTTTGTGGTTTGTTTGTTTGTTTGTTTGTAGTTCTGGTTTGTTTGTGGTTGTGGTTTGTTTGTTTGTTTGTTTGTGGTTCTGGTTTGTTTGTTTGTGGTTCTGGTTTGTTTGTAGTTCTGGTTTGTTTGTGGTTCTGGTTTGTTTGTTTGTGGTTCTGGTTTGTTTGTGGTTCTGGTTTGTTTGTTTGTGGTTCTGGTTTGTTTGTTTGTTTTTTGTTTGTTTGTGGTTTGTTTGTTTGTGGTTCTGGTTTGTTTGTGTGGTTCTGGTTTGTTTGTAGTTCTGGTTTGTTTGTGGCTCTGGTTTGTTTGTTTGTGGTTTGGTTTGTTTGTGGTTCTGGTTTGTTTGTTTGTAGTTCTGGTTTGTTTGTTTGTTTGTAGTTCTGGTTTGTTTGTTGTTCTGTTGTTTGTTTGTTGTTCTGGTTTGTTTGTAGTTGGTTTTTGTTGTTGTGTGTGTTTTTTGTTGGGTTTGTTTGTGGTTCTGGTTTTGGTTTGTTTGTTTGTGGTTTGTTTGTTTGTGGTTCTGGTTTGTTTGTGGTTCTGGTTTGTTTGTTTGTGGTTCTGGTTTGTTTGTGGTTCTGGTTTGTTTGTGGCTCTGGTTTGTTTGTTTGTGGTTTGTTTGTGTGGTTGTGGTTCGTGTTGGGTCCTGCAGCTCATCAGTGTCTCTGGTCTTCAGTTGGTCCTTCAGGGTCACTCCGACTACGTCCACTGTGTGAGTGTGAGAGAGAGGGAGGCTGAGATCCTGTCCGGGGGGGAGGACGGAGCGGTGAGGATCTGGGGTGAGTCCGAACACACCAGATAATGAACTTTATTTATGGTTGAACCAGGATTAAAGGTCAGGAGTAACGGCACAGGGCGAGACAGTGAACGCATCACAGATAAACAAAATGCTAACTAGCTACCTAATCAGTCGTTAGCTAGTTAATCTACTAGCTAGCTTGTTGCATCTGACAGCTAATGTTAGCAAAATGCTATTTTATATCGGAATCGCCAACTACTTACATCGAGCTAACAATGAAAGTAGATTAGTGTTTGGCTACAGAGCCTCTGGTGGCCGTTAGAGGAACTGCAGCAGAATAACAGAGTAAGATCAGCTGCAGGTCGCAGACAGCGTGGGATACTTCCACCCTGGTTTCTGTCTGCAGGAAGTCAGGGTGTGTTAATAATGATGACTTCCTGTCCCTCAGACAGCCGGACGGGTCAGTCTGTCCACTGCATCGAGGTCTACAAGTACGAGGTGAGCAGACTTTATGTTTCTGTGTGCGGCTGTAACGTCTCCTGATGGTCGGACTCAACAGTGTGCTGTGTTTCAGAGCTGTGCCCGACCGCAGTACGGGAAATGGATCAGCTGTCTGACCACCGACTCCGACTGGATGGTGAGAAAATGCCCACACACACACACACACACACACACACACACACACACACACACACACACACACACACACACACACACACACACACACACACACACACACACACACACACTGTCTGACTCTGTGATTGTCTCCAGCTGTGCGGCGGCGGTCCGTCTATGTCTCTGTGGCACCTTCGCTCTCTGTCTCCGACCTCCGTCTTCCCTCTGACGGGCTGCCAGAGACAAGCTGCCTTCCACCAGGACATGGTGAGCTGATATTGATCAGTATACACTGTATCTTTATTGATTATTGATCAGTATACACTGTATCTTTATGGATTATTGATCAGTATACACTGTATCTTTATGGATGATATTGATCAGTATACACTGTATCTTTATGGATGATATTGATCAGTATACACTGTATCTTTATGGATGATATTGATCAGTATACACCTTTATGGATTATTGATCAGTATACACTGTATCTTTATGGATGATATTGATCAGTATACACTGTATCTTTATTGATTATTGATCAGTATACACTGTATCTTTATGGATGATATTGATCAGAATACACTGTGTCTTTATGGATGATATTGATCAGTATACACTGTATCTTTATGGATGATATTGATCCTGTATTGACAGTCAGACTGTGGACATATGACGGCCTTTAGCTCGTGTTTCTAGAGTTACGTGTTGTTACGAACACGTTAGGAATTGTTAAAATGTGATATTTCTTAAAGGGAGTTTGGTGCAGGGAGCTTTTAGTTGGATTCAAACTGCTGATATGGATCATTGTTAACGTTTAGTCTCCACTACAGAAACACTAGCTAACTGCTGAAGGCTGATCAGGTTGTCCGAGTGTTTTATAAGATGTTATCTTCCTCCTCCTCTTCCTCTGTAGATCCTGGCTGTAGGTGAAGGTCCGTTCTTGTCTCACTGTCTGCTGGGTGGAGAAGTTAAAGCTCAGATCCCCTGTACACCGCAGAGCCTCAACACACTGCAGCTCAACACCAACAGCACCGAGCACAGGGTGAGACAGTGAACATATCACACACCCTCAGAGATACAACAGACAGTGAACGCACCGCAGCCTCAGACTGATCCAGAGCTCTTTACTGAAACTGTCTGTACTGTGTTTGCAGGTGCTGACAGCAGGGGGCAGCAGCGATCACATCGATGTGTTCACCAACCTGTCGTACAGAGCGTTTTCACTCCGCTTCTGACAGTCTTCAGTCGTTTATCTGTATTTCTACTGTTGGTAGCATCAATTAGTTTGAACGTAATAAAGTATTTTTGTCTCATTTTGTACAAACTGTGTCATTTGGATTAGCCCCGCCCACAGTGTCGTGGTTATTATATTCAGTAAAAACTCTGATTTCTGGATTTAAAAAGTTGAACTGAAGTTTTTTTATTTATGATAGCAAAAAAATACATTTATATTTTCACTTTGAAAAGCAAAGTGTACAAACCTTTAGTTTTCCTTTACAACAGCGCCCCCTGTGGTACGAAACAGAAACTCACTCCAACTAAACGACAAACAGCCGTGTTCCATTCAGGCAGCAGAATATATATCGGGATAAATGAGCTTTTACATGGCGGAGTAAATATTATGTACACACTGACTGAACTCTGCTCTCGGCGGGGACGGAAACAGGATCCGTATGTTTGCAGGTGAGAACAGGTGAGACGCTCCGTCAGCAACCATTAAAAAAAGTCTTAATTTACCCAGAATTCATGAGGAATAAGGTCGGGTACAACAGGGGAGCAGTTTGACCTGCAGCAGTCCTTTTAATGAGAGTCATGATGTAGTGTCCATGTAAACGCAGCAGGTGACATTGGGTGGGCGGGGCTTCAGGCGGCGGACAGACAGGCCTGTCGGACGCTCTGAGCCCAGGTGTTCAGCAGCTCCGTCACCGAGTGTTTGTCCGGCAGCTGCAGCAGTTTGGACGTCATGTTTCTGTGGACCGTCTGCAGGAAGCTGTTTGCACCTGTCGGGGGGGGACAGACAGACACAGCAGGTCACGTGATCAAAACCACAACAGAAGTAAATCAGTAAATGTCCAACATGTGCCTGTATTCAATGTGATTGAACACAGGGACATCTTAAGTTAGCATTTTCTGAGTCTGAGATCACTGTTTGAATGTATGTGGATGATGTGTCTCTCTCACCGTACTGGTCCCCGTCGTCGGCCCAGTACGGACTCTGGTCGGGATAATCAGCAGGAACGCTGAGCTGCAGAGGAGGAACGCTGGGAAGGTTTTTATCATCTGAGAACAACCAACAACAACAACAGCGTTAAAAACATCCAGATTGCATCGTCACCTCAACAGCCTGAAGAACAGAGCACCGAATATGTTTCAGTTCCTGGTGGACCGAAAAACATTCAAACTATTCAGGAAAAGGCTGCAGTATTCACTCTGTTCCTACTGACAGCAGCTGCACTGACCAATAATGTGCTTTACTCTCATTAATAAAGCAGTTAGACTGTATAATGTTGTTTAGTGCACATACTCAGCTTTATCAGTATTTATTCATTACACTTATTCTCATTTATAATATATATATATATAGTAATTGAATGCCCATATTTGAACCTTGTTGTTCAACAACCTGAGCCCCTGTAACAACCAACTGCCCCACCGGGATCAATAAAGTATTTCTGCCTCTAACGGGGTGGATGGTTCCTCTGTTCTCACACTGTGGACCTTTGGTCTCTGGCTCCGAACAATAAAGCTTTACAGAGGCGGTCTCCAACCTGTGGGTCGGGTGATGAGGCCTTCTTGAATTTAAGGTGTCTAAGAAAACTTTTAAAATAAACACAGCAGACATATCTTTATTTATTTCATTTGTGAGGTACATTAAATGATTTTAAAAGTCTCTGATCAATCATCGTCCTGTGTTAGAAACCAACCAAAGAGCTGATAGAACAATGAGGAGAAAACTGAATCTGTCAAATAAAGAAGCCAATTAAGTCTGTATGATTATTAAATATACAAACATAATACAGAGATTTATTATAAAGGTTCCTACTAATATCCATAAAATCTCATCTTTCACAGGAAATAATCAAACCTCTGGTTTTCCACAAACTTCCTGCAGTTATTGAGTTGGACAGTTGATCAGCTACTGTTATTATGTATTTACTATGAAATATATATGAACAACTATGTGACTGATTCTGGTGAAACTGGATCATATTTTTTCTTCTTCTGAGGATTAGTCTCTAAACAGTTATGTTTTATCTTTACACATAAGTTTGGTTGGGTTAGAGTTGGGTTAGGGTCAGGCTCAGGACCAGGGTCAGGCTCAGGATCGGGGTCTGGTGCCTGACTCACCCAGCTTGCAGACGAGGTGCACGGTGCCGTTGTTGCTGCAGAACGAAGGATCCAGGTTGACGAGGAACTTGACGTCGAGGCGGGCCACCTCCCCCTGCAGGATGTTGGGGATGGTCTGCCGCTCGTCCTCCTCGTGCTTCCTCTTCCTGCCGGAGACATTGGGACCCCTGAGGAGGAGGAGGAGGAGGAGGAGGAGCTTGATCACTGTGGTTTCACTGACCTCAGAAACTTATTTCTAGCTGTTCTTTATAGACTCGGACATTAATGACGTACTCTGCAGAAATATTCACATGTATGCAGATGATGCAGTAATATTTGTAATAAGTAATACGTTTGTAAGTCCGACTGACTGACATGGCAGAGATGAGTGTAAAATGTCGTACAGCGCAGTTTATTTTATTAAAGTCCCGTCTCAAACAGCGGCTGAAGGCAAATCAGAGCTGTCACTTTGCTCATGGTGGTACTGTTGGGTCTCTGTAAATAATGTTTTAAGGAGTTCGGTCTAGACCTGCTCTATTTGAAAAGTGTCCTGAGATAACTTCTGTTATGAATTGGTGCTATACAAATAAAATTGAATTGAATTAAACTGAATTGATTTGGGTGCAGTGAGGCGAGACTTACGTGATGGGCGGTCCGTGGATGGCGGTCATGGCGGGGGCGAAGGTCCGGTACAGAGAGTGGTTGAAGACCGGAGAGCGGATGTTGGCCATGACGGCATCCAGCAGCGGCTGACACAGATACTGCTGCTTGGTGGGCACCGGGGGTGGCGGGGGGGTCGGCTGCAACCACAGGGACAAACTGTTACTGACGGCACTGCTTATTATTGATCCGAACTTTTATTTCCAATGTGGGAACAAATCAAACCGAGAGAAATGAAGGTAAAGCAGCCATTTAAAGGGAGATACGTTTGTTTTCTCCTGCATGCAAACAACATAACCAAATGACATTTCCATAACACAGTTTAAAAGATCTATTGAACAGACCGTGACACAGAAAGACCACAGTGAGGCGCTCTGTCTATTTAACAATGGACCCGTTTGAAACCAAATAACAGCAAACGTTCTCACCACGGCCATGTCGTTCTTCAGTTTCTCCAGAGCGATCTCACACTTCTGCAGCGTCTTCAGGGGACATCTGGGGGTCAGAGGACAGGGCGGAGGTCAGTACAGGGAATCAGTGATTGGATGAGGAGAGTGATCAGGGATCAGCTGTTACCTGGTGTTTGGATCAGTCAGGATATTCAACAGACTCTTCATCTTACTCAGGTCCTTCTTCCGGTCTGTTAACAGACAACAAACTGTCAACATTCATCTCATATAAAACATTTATTACAAACTCCTGTTATTCCTCAGGTGTCTTCTGTCAGTTCTGATTATCAATAGAGTTATTGATTAACTTTGTGTGAATCAACTGATGAATGGACCTTCATTTTTGTCGATCTTGTTGATCATCCTGCGCAGAGGTTCGATGTATTTGGACAGCTGTTTGAGTTTCTCCATGTACTGCTGATCCTCCAGAGACGTGGCTCCAGCCGGACTCATCACTGGGTTACCTGCAGGACCGGAGGGGGACAGGTGGGACGGGTGAGGACAGGGGAGCACAATAAGCTTACTGAAGGTGTAGAAATGTGTGATCTGATGTTTTAAGTAGAAAGTTTATTTCATAGATTACCACGACGCCCTTTTACAAACTCGACCACTGACAGTAAATATACCGGACAGAGAAACCTGCATTCTGTGTAAAGACCAGCAGGGGCCACTGTTTACTGCTGATATCTGTAAGCAAACAGTACTGTACTCTGCCCTTCTACATCAGGGTTCCCACTGTAAGAAATCATTGCCTCCTTTCTCTGACAGTACAGGACAGCACTAGCTCGCAGTGGGGGGGCCGTCACAGTTCATCTTCTCACTGACAGTAGCAGTAGTGGAAGTGTTTCCAACAGTCATCAACCACAACATGTGGTATATTCATGTGGATGTTGACAATGACAGCCTTAGTAATGCATTTATATCATTAATAGACTCAATTGGCTTCTGTCAGAGTGTAAATAAACCAACTCATTGTTTTAATCACACTCTTGACCTTGTTTTATCATATGGCATTGATATTGAACATTTAATAGTCTTCCCACATAATCCTTTCCTATCTGACCATTATTTAGTAACTTTTGAATTCATACTATTAGATTATAAGCCATTAGGCAAAACTTCCTACAGCAGATGTCTATCTGACAGTGCTGTAGCTAAATTTAAGGAGGAGATTCCTTCAGTGTTTAATTCAATGCCATGTCTGAATTTAACAGAGTCCTATAACGACTTTAGTCCCTCTGAAATTGATAATCTTGTTGATAGTGCTACAGGCTCACTACGATCAACATTAGACTCTATCGCTCCTATAAAAAGGAAATTATTAAAACATAGGAGACTAGCACCTTGGTATAACCACCAAACCCGCCAGTTAAAACAAATAGCTAGGAAATCTGAAAGGAAATGGCGCTCTTCCAAATGATCAGAATATCGCTCAAATTGGCAAGATAATCTTAAAACTTATAGAAAGGCCCTCCATAATGCCAGAGGAGCCTATTATTCAGCACTAATAGAAGTAAATAAGAACAACCCTAGGTTCCTCTTCAGCACTGTAGCCAGGCTGACAGAGAGTCACAGCTCTATTGAGCCACATATCCCCATAAACTTAAGTAGCAATGACTTCATGAGCTTCTTCTATAATAAAATTATTACTATTAGAGAAAAAATGTATCACCAACTGCCATCAACAGTTATCAGTGGCTCTCCAAGTTCAGGGACTTCTGTCAATGTAAACTTAGATATATATTTAGACTGTTTTTTGCTATCGATCATCAGTTAACTTCAATCTTGCTTCATCGAAGGCCATCAACCTGTTATTAGACCCGACCCAACTAGGCTCCTTTAAATTGTTCCCTTAATTGGTTTTTCTGGTATGATTAATCTTTCTTTTTATAGGATATGTACCACTCCTTTAAAGTAGCTGTGGTTTTTAAAAAGTCCACTCTTGCCGTTTTCCAACTATAGACCGATTTCTAACCTCCCCTTCCTCTCTAAGATTCTGGAGAAAGTAGTCGCCAAAGAGTTGTGTGACTTTCTACATAACAATAGTTTATTTGAGGTTTTTCAGTCAGGATTTAGAGTTCATCATAGCACAGAGACAGCTCTGGTTAAAGTTAATAATGACCTTCTGACTGCTTCTGACAATGGACTTGTCTCTGTACTTGTATTATTAGATCTTAGTGCTGCATTTGACACCATTGACCATAATATTCTTTTACAGAGACTTGAGCATCAAATTGGCATTAAAGGAACTGCACTAAGCTGGTTTAAGTCATATTTATCAGATCGCTCGCAGTTTGTACATGTTAACGATGAATCTTCAATAAATACTACAGTTAGTCATGGAGTTCCACAAGGTTCTGTACTTGGACCAATACTATTTACTTTATATATGCTCCCTTTAGGCAACATTATTAGGAATCACTCCATTAACTTTCACTGTTATGCAAATGATACACAGTTATATCTATCGATCAAGCCCAATGAAATGAATCAATTATCTAAATTACAAACATGTCTTAAGGACATAAAATCCTGGATGAGCTGCAATTTTCTGATGTTAAACTCAGAAAAAACCGAAATTCTTGTTCTTGGCCCCAAAAACCTTAGAGACTCATTGTCTAAAGATATAGTCACTCTAGATGGCATTAACTTGGCCTCTAGCACCACTGTCAGGAATCTTGGAGTTATCTTTGATCAGGATTTGTCATTTAACTCCCACATAAAGCAGACCTCTAGGACTGCCTTCTTTCATTTACGTAATATTAGAAAAATTAGACACATACTATCACAGACAGATGCAGAAAAACTAATCCATGCATTTGTTACTTCAAGGCTGGATTACTGCAACTCTTTATTATCAGGTTGCCCCAATAAGTCCATTAAAACGCTCCAATTAATTCAGAACGCTGCAGCACGAGTACTGACAGGAACTAGAAAAAGAGATCACATCTCTCCTGTACTAGCTTCTCTGCACTGGCTCCCTGTAAAATTTAGAATAGAATTTAAAATTCTCCTCCTCACCTATAAAGCTCTTCATGGTCAGGCCCCTTCATATCTTAAAGAGCTCATAGTACCCTATTACCCCACTAGAACACTACGTTCTCTGAATGCTGGGCTACTTGTGGTTCCTATAGTCTCTAAAAGTAGAACAGGAGCCAGAGCCTTCAGTTACCAAACTCCTCTCCTGTGGAACCAGCTTCCAGTTGTGGTTCGGGAGGCAGACACCCTCACCACATTCAAGAGTAGGCTTAAGACATTCCTCTTTGATAAAGCTTATAGTTAGGGCTGGATCAGGTGAGTCCTGAACCATCCCTTAGTTATGCTGCTATAGGCCTAGACTATCGGGGGATTTCCCATGGTGCACTGAGCTCCTCTCTTCCTCTCTCTTTCTGCACTCATTCATGTCCCATTAATGCATGTTACTAACTTCACTTCTTCCCCGGAGTTCTTGTGCTTTCTCGTCTCGCAGGTTCTCATCGATCCTGGTGGAGCCTCCTGCCATGGTCCTGCTAGATTGCCATTGCCAATACTGTTGTTGCTGTGCACCTGTCTGTCTGTCTGTCTCTCGCTCTCTCTCTCTCTGCCTCTCTCTCTCTCTCTCTCCCACCCCAACTGGTCGAGACAGACGACCACCCACCTAGAGCCGAAGGATCTGTCCTAGGTTTCTGCCTTTAACAGGCAGTTTTTCCTTGCCCTTGTCTCCAAGGTCTTGCTCATGGTGGTACTGTTGGGTCTCTGTAAATAATGTTTTAAAGAGTTCGGTCTAGACCTGCTCTATTTGAAAAGTGTCCTGAGGTAACTTCTGTTATGAATTGGCGCTATACAAATAAAATTTGAATTGAATTGAATTGAACAACAATGTGATCTGAGTGAGCGGCTAAAACAGGACTGGAGCTGGTCTGTGAGGATGCGAGGGAACCCTGCGTGTGTTTGTATAGCCTGTTCCTGTTTTATTTGTTCTGTTTCCTGTTGTGTTGCTGAGAGCTGGGATGTGTGTACCTGGAGTGTTGAGCGTTGGAGAGGGGACTCCGTAGTTCCCGGGGGTTCGGACGTTGGCGGGGCTGTGTGAGGGCTGAGGGGACGGGCTGGGCTGGAAACCCCCTGGAGACGGAGTGGGACCAGAGCTGGAGACAGGAAGCAGAAAGGACTTTAAAGACCAGCAGAGCTTAATCTGTTTGTGTACTGGAGGCGTCTCGGATAAACGGCCGTTACCTGACGGAGTTGGGCTGTGAGGTCGGGGGTTGAGGTGATGGCTGAGGAGGGGGGGGCATCGGCTGTGGCGTCTGGACCGGTGAGGGCGATTGTATCATCTGTACCTGTGGAGGGAAGGGATTGGACAGGAAGAATTAGCCAATCAGAGGAGGAGAGGCAGCCTCCTGAATGGAGTCGTCACAGTCTGAACAGTCTGTTTTATTATCCATCAATCTGAAGTGTCAGACAAACAATATATATAAAATAGATTATAAACATTACAGTAATATCGGAAACATGCATCCCCCAGTCGACTAGCACTGCAGAATGAGGTTAGACTCTGGAACAGATGATTTTTTATGGGGCACAATCTCTAACAGTGAGATATAGCTATAAGTAGTAGTACTGTCAGGGGACAGTAATGTGAACCGGACTCTCTGTTCCCTCAGCGACATGAAGAGGTGTAAGCAGCAGGACACGATGGGTGAGCAGCGCTGACAGACGGAGGCGCACTGTGGCAGGGAGGGGGGGTCAGAGGTCAGACTGGGGATATTTACCTGCTGTGACATCTGCTGTCCTTGTGCCGCGGCGGCCGCAGCAGCAGCGGCGGCGGCTGCTGCTGCAGCGGCGGCGGCTGCAGCGTTTGGAGAGGGGTTAGGCAGGGGGGCTCGAGGCATCCGGGATGATATCTGCAGCCCGGGACGGACCAGCTTCAGAGGACACAGACAGAGACACAACAGGACCGGTGAGCAGAGAGGAGGCAGACAGCAGCACAAACACAGAACCTCAACCCTGAACCTTGAAGTAGCGAGGACCGGACAGGATGTCCTCACAGCGGCAGCAAATAAACATTTGAATAGAACAATGAATTGGCTATTATAATCTCTTCTGGCTGATATTCAGGTTTCTATTCCTCTTCCTCATTCTCTGATGAAGATGAGAGAACTTCCTTGCTACCTGATACCTTTAAATCCGTTTCTCTCAAACTAAAAAGTTAAACCCTCAATAAAACCTCCAGCCAGTAGAAGGCGCTGTACGTTTGACAGCTGAGTAATAACCTGCAGTATGAAACAGGGTGGAGTTACACATAAAGCACCTGAGCTTGAGGTGGCTGCAGTCTCACCTGTCCAGGTACAGCGGCGGCGGCGGCGTTGATCTGCACATGCTGGGCCTGCTGGGCCTGCTGCGCCTGCTGCTGCGCCTGCTGCTGCGCCTGCTGTTGCGCCTGCTGCTGCAGCACTGCACGGGCCTGTTGTTTCACACACACACACACACACACACACACACAGCAAAGCATGCAAGCAGAGGGGGGGGTAAGCGAGGCTACTGGAACCCTATGTGGTGATTTATCAGCTGATCAAAGAAGGAACAAACTGAATCTCACTGATTTGAACGCCGGCGCTCTCACAGTATTGATCCTGCAGATGTTGGACCCCAGAGTCCGAACCAGTCTCAACACCGTTGCTGAACAGTACTACTTTCAATATCAATTTTATACAATTATAACCAAAATAAAATGATGCATTGGAAGCTGTTTAAAGACCTTTATGGCCCGCGGAGCCGACGGGTACCACAGCAGCTTGGAAAACATCTGGTTCATTAGCAGTACTTCAGAATCTCAACTGTTGGGCAGATACAGGTTGGCTGCACTGGCTAGCTAACAACTGTGTGTATATACATAAGCAGCTACGTGCTCATCGGCGCTCTGAGGAGTCTGTTGGTATTGGAATTCGGTACCCAGCTCGTCAGAGCAGAAAAGATTATTTTAAATGAGCCGCTCTTACTCATGTTTTGTCGTTGACATTGTGTCGCACATTAACTGGATTTTGTGTTCACTCATTTGAAGTGTGTGACATTGTTCTGTCTGTCTGCCCAACAGCGTTTGTTTTGATATGAAAGCCCACTTAAAATAAAATCACATAACAAACATTTTTTAATTATCAAGGCTCCGTTTACATCTTATTTCTTTCCATTTAACGGGCAGTAATGAGCTTCCATATGTTGGAGAGGAGGAGACCTCTGTGGATCATTGGGCTCCCGGTAGAAACCTCCTGAACCATGAACACTGAAGGAATCCTAACAGGGAGAAGCTGACTGCAATGACGCCAATGGTGGTGAAGACAACAACTCCCATGATCCCACACTGCTTCACCATCTCATCACACTTCCTCTTGTTATTGTTTGGATGTGAGCGACCCCTAGTGGCAGAAACTACAGCCTGTACCTTTAAATCAGTGTGATCCAGTCCTCCTAAACCTCTCGAGTCAACAGACTGTGTTTGGAGTGCGACTCCGGTCTGACATGGAGCCACTGAGCTCAGTCTCACCTGGAGGGCCTGCATCTTGAGCTGATGCTGCTGATGCTGCTGCTGCTGCTGCTGCTGACTGAGTGAGTTGATGGGAACATGCTGAGTGGCCAGAGACTGAGTCACCAAGCCGGGCTGCTGCTGCTGCTGCTGAGAGTGAGGAGGCATCTGACCCGGCTGAGGCTGAGCCTGGCTCTGAACCTGCTGCTGCTGCTGCTGCTGCTGCTGCTGCTGCTGGACCATGTGCTGGATCGCCTGAGCTTGCTGCTGCTGGAACTGCAGCTGCTGCACCATCTGATGCTGCTGCTGAATCCTCATCTACAGGGAGCAAACAGAGTTATTACTTCATCAGCTAGAGAAATCTATACTAACAAAACAGGACTACAGCACTGATCTGATCTATAGAGCCTGTTTACAGGGCTGAATCTTGTCATCAATGTCCATTATTACAGTCTCTTTCAGTTCAGCACCCTAGTTTCAGTCTCTTTTACCTCTGTGGTGCATTGTGGGATTCTATAACTGAACTTTATGGGCAGGATAAAGACCGACAATAATATCAGAGACAGTAACAGCAGGCTGCTGACAGTCCAACAGTGTCTCACAGTGGATGCAGGAGAGGACGTTGGACGTAACTCAACAAATAAAGAACAAACTGTGGTAGATCCAGTTAAATAAAGTCCCTCCTCACTCAGTAACTCTACACCGGTGAGATTGTTGAATGGAGTCTGGTGATATTGCAGTTACTAGTTCAGTGGTCATATCAAACATCTGCTGCTGATCTCTGCAGATAAAAGCACATCATTTGCTTCACAGTGAACTAAACAGAAGGTTTCTGGGTTCTTACAGGACGTCGGTGGTCCTTCAATGTGGACCAGGACTCATCAGTGTTTACAATAATTCTATTCAATTCAATTTTATTTGTATAGCGCCAATTCATAACAGAAGTTATCTCAGGACACTTTTCAAATAGAGCAGGTCTAGACCGCACTCTTTATAACATTATTTACAGAGACCCAACAGTACCACCATGAGCAAGACACTTGGAGACAAGGGCAAGGAAACACTGCCTGTTAAAAGGCAGAAACCTGGAACAGACTCTAGGTGGGTGGTCGTCTGCCTCGATCAACGATACAAAAGGTATTTGGTCAAATGAGCCCCAGACCACCTCGGCAAATGGTCTGAGTGATCTGATCTCAATGTGTCATTTTGTGGGTTAGAAATGGTTCAACGCGCTTGTATGAGTGAATAAATCGGCAATCGCCAGCTGATGGACGGACTGTGGCAGGTTGGAATATTTTAATATCGCCCAACCCCACAACAGGGTTTCTCAGATACCTTTCGACCTGATGGCCCAGGTGAGTGTGTCGTAGCCAAGTTAAGATGTAAAATAAATGTATAACCAGTGTTGGAAGTATTCAGATTATTTATTTCATTACAAGTAGAAATACAGCAACATCTCATGAAAACCTGCCAAAACAAGAAAAAGTATAAAAAGCATGAAAAGTCACACTCAAGTAAAAAAGTGCAAGTATTAACATAAAATGTACTTTAAGTGTTAAAGTATCATTTGAAAAATTACTGGAATGAAACAATGTGAGACGTAGAGGGAAGAATCACTCTTTGGTGAACTGCTGCTGCCTCTTCAACAGCAGTTTGTGGATGTCAAACACGGCCTGTGCCCGGTGCTCCTCCGGCAGCCTCCGCACCAGGTCTGCAAACGTTCGCCCGAACCCGGAGAGCTCGTCGCCTTCGCTCTGCTGCAGTTTCACCCTGTGTTCCTCCAGCTGGGAACACTGCTGCTGAAGCCAGTCATCCCCCACCTCTTTCCTCTTCCGCTTCTGTGCCACAGGAGGCAACTGGGCGCTCTGGCGGTGGTCGACCTCACCAGTCGAGGTCAGTGGCTGTGGAGACGGCCTGAAGGAGGAATTTGTGGTTGTTTGTTTTCCTCAGCAGTGGTTTCTGTGGTTGTCTCATCAGCAGCTGAAGTGGTGGAAGTGTTTCGAGTTGAATCCTTTCTGTCCTGTGATTGTAAAAGAAAATGCGAACAGTTTATGTTAGTCTCTGTAGGTTTACGTACAGGTAGTATCACTGGTAACAGTACGTAACAGTACGAACATCACACAATGAAATCACTCCACTACGAATAAATCAGCAAAATGTATGTACAGTAAAAAGCCTACTTGCTAGCTACTTGATTTTCCTAAATACAAACAACACAAAGAACATGCTATATTTACCTTTCCATGAACTCTCTTTGTAACGCGGCGGAGGAGAGACGCACATATTTACAGACATCTTCAATCAACCGCTCCTCGATTTGGTCCATGTTCACCGTGATGTTCGCTCAACCGGAGATGGAGGAAGAAGGAAGAGGAAATGCGAGCTGACCAATCAGAGTTGTTGCGTTCTGTGTCGCGGTGAGTTGTGGTTACGTTTTAGGGGAGGTGAACGTCAGTCGTACCTGCGCCGTCGCCACAGCGTTGGTTCAGTGCAGACATGTGAACCAGGCTCACAAAGGTTTGCTCTAACAGACCTAATCTGTTCAACGTGCACAAATACCTCTTTTCCACC